TACAAAAAATTTAAATCTAAATTTATCAAAACTGTGTAGACACATAAGGATTTAAACTCAGAGATTAGTGACATGTATCCAACATGCATGCACGTGCCACGTTCCGTGACGTCAGTGGGTTCGTCCTTGAGACGTGCAATACGTTGTTGCACGTGCATTCCGGGAAAGAGAAACAGAGCAAATGAATGCCACACAATACTGTCACTTTGGAAAGCTCAACCCCTGCCCTTGCGATCGTTCAAAAAGTTAAACAGCTATTGAAACGCATAGCATGCCAAGGCTCACGTCTGCACAACGTCATGAGGCCATTGGGATGGTCCGTTGGGGAATGTCTCAACGACAAGTGGCTGCACATTTCCACTGCCACCGGAACACCATTTCAGCACTGGTGAGACGCTACCAGAACACAGATGACGTCATCGATCGGCCACGCTCTGGACGTCCACGTGTAACAACGCCAAGACAGGACATATGGATAAGGGTGAGCCATCTTCGCCAGAGGTTTCAGACTGCAGTGATGACTGCCCGAACCATCCCAGGACTTCGCCGTTTACACCCCAACACAGTTCGACAACGTTTACGTCATCACGGGATCAGACCACGACGTCCCGCCATACGGCCTATCCTGACACAACGTCATCGACAAGCTCGCCGAATGTGGTGCCGAAATCATGTCCGCAGACCCTTGTTTTGGTGGAGAAATGTTGTTTTTACAGATGAGTCCAGGTTTAATAACGTGCCTATAGACGCGTGGGAGAACGTTATGCACAGGCCTGTGTCTTGGAGAGGAATCGCTTTGGTGGTGGTTCCGTGATGATTTGGGGTGGAATAACAGCACGCCACAGAACTCCTTTGGTGATTGTTCAGGGCAACTTAACTGGTGTGGGCTACAGGGATCAGATTCTTCGACCTGTGGCAATTCCTTTTCTGCAACGTCATGGCCCTGGGTTAACATTCCAACAGGACAATGCCCGCCCTCATACGGCAAGGGTTGCTATGGATTTCTTGCAACACCACAACGTTGACGTACTGCCTTGGCCTGCAAATTCACCGGATCTCTCCCCGATAGAGCATGTTTGGGACGAGATGGATCGACGTCTACGCCGTCTTCCTCATCCGCCAGATAACGTCCTTGACCTTGCAACAAAACTTGAGAGAATCTGGCGTGACATCCCTGAAAGCCTTCCTTGCACGTTTGATAGGCTCTATGCGTCGTCGATGCACTGCTGTTCTCAATGCCGATGGTGGACATACCCGTTATTGAGCTTGTGACATGGTCGTTTGACCCCTGTCAATGCTTGTGGACTCGTGACGTCATTGTGATTGACTTTTCAAATGAAATTCTCCCGACTTGTTATGGTCTCATGATCCCTCCATTAAAGTTTATATGTACCTTTGACATTGTTATCGTACTTATCAACTGGGATAATATTTTGACAATGCACAGTTTCTTTATGTGGCTAGTATATAATGCTATTGCTACTGGCCAATGCGATAGCGTCCTCTGTTGGGTACCCAGCCATGTTGGCATTTCTGGTACCACAATGGCAGATTTTTGTGCTAAGGCAGCACTCAACAATTCTGTGACACCACTTCTGATCCCATACTCTGATTACAAACCTGTCATTAGATCTTATATACGTGATCTAATGCAAAAGAAGTGGGACACTCCAGTACATGTAAGGGGAGTAATGTACACGCACATAGGTTGATAAATAACGTACACATAAGGGAGTATTATACAATTAGCATAAGGGTTTATGTAACATGCACCTAAAAGAGTAACATAACACAAACACACTTGGACTACATCTCAAGCTGAATGGTATGGCTGTTTTGTGCACTGTGTCAATAGCTGTGACAATCGGCCAGTGGAGCCGAGGGGAAATTCTACAAGGAGACATACTTATAGAACTGTATTTTACACTGAATAAAAAACCCGATACCGAGTAGATAAACTTGTGCTTATATATGGCTTATATATTTTCACCATCGCTGATCCAAGTAGTTTCTAGTAACAACAAATCACGAAAGACTGTATTGATTTAACACTATTTCATAAAGACATCAACCTTTGTTAAGTCACGAAATGTAGAATTTGAGTTTGGTGTTTCCGGTAAGCTTGAGTGATTGTCAAAGCTTGCTACATATGTCGAGGTGACTGTGACACGAAAGCTACTGGCCGTGTAACATGAGTGAGTGAACATTTCACTACATATCACACTCGGGCAACTTGGAGTACGTATATTACGTGGATTCGAATCTGGATTACCATAATGTAGAAGAACGTCCAAAGGTTCCATTTATCATATTCTATTTTAACATGATTTAGAAACTTTTCTTCAGTAACATATGTTTATTTCGGAGTCTAGATGTTAGTCCACCGCATTGGTAAACCCATGAGAACGATTAGGCTGACAGACCTAAAGCATGAGCAGACCGAACAGGGATGCGAAATATCAATCAGTGCTCTGACATGCAAATAGGATTGTCATTAAACTGGAAGAAATGTGGAGCATGACATTAAAGAACAAAACAAAATCAGTAGACATTATAATGAACATGCATGGGTCTACTCTGTTGCCTCCCTCAGTACCCAGCCTCGTACTTTCATCTGGAGAGCCTACTTGAGACCGGCATAACAATCTTTGTGTTGTAACGCCTTAGTTAATTATCCCAGGGATACAGGAAGTGGTGGCCTGATCCTTGTTGAATACCGGATACTGATTTCAGTTGTAATTACTGGCGTATATGCGGCGCGTTCGTTCAGAACATGTAGATAGTTGTAGTTTCTCTAGACAGTACTGGCCTAATCACTACCTACCTACAGCATTAAGTAGTGCTGCCTACCAACATTATAGTGTTCTAATCAATACCTATAGTATTAAGTAGTGATGCATACCAACATTATAGTGTTATAATCACTTCCTACAGCATTAGGTAGTGATGCCTAAAAGCATTATAGTGATCTAATCACTACCTACAGCATTAAGTAGTGATGCCTAAAAGCATTATAGTGATCTTATCACTACTGGCAGCATTAAGCATTGATGCATACCAACATTATAGTGACCTAATCACTACCTACAGCATTACGTAGTGATGTCTGCCAGCATTATAGTAGAGTAAACACTACTGGCAGCGTGAAGTACTGATGCATACCAATATTATATAGATCTTGTCACTACCTACAGCATTAAGTGCTGATCCATACCAACATTATACTGACCTTACCACTACCTACAGCATTAAGTGCTGATGCATACCAACATCATAGTGATATTGTCGCTACCTACAGCATTAAGTGCAGATGCATACCAACATTATAATGTTCTAATCACTACCTACAGCATTTAGTGCTGATGCATACCAACATTATAGTGATCTTGTCACTACCTACAGCATTAAGTGATGATGCATACCAACATTATACTGACCTTACCACTACCTACAGCATTAAGTGCTGATGCATACCAACATTATAGTGATATTGTCGCTACCTACAGCATTAAGTGCTGATGCCTACCAACATTATAGTGATATTGTCACTACCTACAGCATTAAGTGCTGATGCCTACCAACATTATAGTGATCTTGTCACTACCTACAGCAATAAGTGCTGATGCCTACCAACATTATAGTGATCTTGTCACTACCTACAGCATTAAGTATTAATGCCTACCAACATTATAGTGATCTAATCACTACCTACAGAATTAAGTACTGATGCATACAAACATTATAGTGATCTAATCACTACCTGCATTAAGTGCAGATGCCTACCAATATAAAAGTGATCTTATCACTACCTACAGCATTAAGTGCTGATACATACAAACATTATAGTGATATTGTCACTACCTACAGCATTAAGTGCTGATGCCTACCAACATTATAGTTATCTTGTCACTACCTACAGCATTAAGTGCTGATACATACAAACATTATAGTGATATTGTCACTACCTACAGCATTAAGTGCTGATGCCTACCAACATTATAGTGATCTTGTCACTACCTACAGCATTAAGTGCTGATGCATACCAACATTATAGTGATCTTGTCACTACCTAAAGCATTAAGTGCTGATGTCTACCAACATTATAGGGATCTTGTCATTACCTACAGCATTAAGTGCTGATGCATACCAACATTATAGTGATCTTGTCACTACCTACAGCATTAAGTGCTGATGCCTACCAACATTATAGTGATCTTGTCACTACCTACAGCAATAAGTGCTGATGCATACCGACATTATAGGAATCTTGTCACTACCTACAGCATTAAATGCTGATGCCTACCAACATCACAGTGGTCTCATCTCTGATGACTACCGTATTCATGCCTATGCGTATTCATTATGGAATGTTGTTCAGATAAATATATATGTAATATGCCGACAGATTTAGTTATTTGTTGTAATTCCAAGTCAATCGACCAAGGCAACTGAATGACCGTTATAAACATTGTCAGTTTTCAACCATTAAATAGTTATCAGTCGTTGCAGGACGAAGGAAAGCTAATTCTGAACGAGTCTTGACATCTTAGCCGCTGAGTCACCGTATAAAGAGTCATGGATTTAAAAAAACAATTGAGGGGCGGCGGGGTGGCCTAATGGTTAAAGCGTTCGCTCCTCACGCCGAAGACCCGGGTTGGATTCCCCACATGGGTACAATGTGTGAAGCCCATTTCTGGTGTCCCCCACCGTAATATTGCTGGAATATTGCTAAAAGCGGCGTGAAGCCCAACTCACTCACTCACTCCGAAACATGAAAAAACAACATAATTTTAGATGTCGTAAAAATAATTTAGACTAAATTTCAATATTTCGAAAACACACCAAAATGCCACGATAACGTCTGAACGTTTCCGAGCTGGGAAACTGGAGAGTGTTGCCAAGTGTGGCTGCCGTTCTCTCTGCCCCGGATGTGCACAGTACCAGGACATGGCTTGCTTGCCCCAACCAATTAACTGCGGACATTGTTAGTAACTGTAAATCTCTGTTTAAACGAAACAAGATTTAGCTGAAGACGCACGTTGTAAAATGGATATGCCAGCTTTCTGGATCTGCTGGTTGGTATATATGAGCCATCTTGTAACAGGGTATTCGGAGATTGTCGAGAGCGTGAAAGGTAAGTCTGGTACTTCTAACGCTGCATGGTTGTTTTGCATTCATTTTTGGACAGGGATCCGTTTGAATTATAGGGAAAAACAATTAATAAATGTATTACAGAGTTGCGCCCCTTAGCGTTACAGGATAGGTATATATATCAAGTAAAGGTGAAATAGCTCTGGCAGGTTCATAGTCCTGGGTAATGGTGTGAGTGAGTGAGTTTAGTTTTACGCCACTTTTAGCAATATTCCAGCAATGTTTCTGAAGGACACCAGAAATGGGCTTCTCGCATTGTACCAATATGGGAATTCGAACCCGGGTCTTCAGCGTGACAAGCAAACGCTTTAACCACTAGGCTACCCCACCGCCCCCTAGGTAATGGAACACCATTTGTGATGATGACTGTCTATACGGCTGTCAGTGATTACACTAAATGCGCAGAAAACAATCATATCACCATAAAGAGAAAGACAAGAGCGCATTGTCATAAGCAATTATTTCGATCAATGGCGCAGGTAGAAACCCTCCCAGCTAACAATTCACGTTATCACAACGTTGTCACAACGTTATACTTACGTTGTTACGACGTTATTCTGCGGACTCCAATTTACGTTGTCACAACGTTGTGGCCTGACGTAATAGTTCATTTTTACGTCGCCACAAGTTACAGTTATTTGATGTTAACGTATTGGACGTTGTCTTACCGTTCTATTTAACGTTAATAGTTGAATGGCTTTCCCAGTAGTGAACGGCACATAGGAAACAAAGCAGAAGTTCACTTCTATGTTTATTCGTCAATTTGCATGTTGTTTTGGTCGTGTGTTTTTTAAGGCTGTAGCTGAAAAGTGAAGAGTGAAAACGCTATCGAGACACCAAGTTATAAGAAACGCTGTTCTAACTGTGTGAGGAGCTCAAAGCATAACGTTTCCTCGTAAAACGTAAATTTGCAATTTTTTTATTGTGTTGTGGTAACGTTATAAAATGACGTAATACTGACGTTGTGTCATGACGTTACCCATCTACAACCTTCCCACAACGTTGTGTCATGACGTTACCAATCTACAACCTTCCCACAACGTTGTGTCATGACGTTACCAATCTACAACCTTCCCACAACGTTGTGTCATGACGTTACCAATCTGTACCCTTCCCACAACGTAGTGTCATGACGTTACCAATCTACAACCTTCCCACAACGTTGTGTCATGACGTTACCAATCTACACCCTTCCCACAACGTTGCGAAAACGTTTCTATCTTATCAGAGAGGGGATAGGCAAGGGGGTCGTGTCTCTCGTTCATGCAAACTATATATATTGATACTCGAAACAAGTCACATAAATGCTCTCGTGACATCCTTGAGAATATTTCCAAGGTTTCTGGGAGTTTGTCATTAAAGGCATCAAAAACATTTCCAAAATCCAGTTATGATGAACTCAAAGGAGCCCCTGATTAAGTTCGTAATAACTGTAGTTCGTTCTGCGCACTCGACTTAACTAAACAGCATGGGCCATTGACCAAACAGAACTGTTCGGTATATCCATCAACGATATAAGTGTGTTTGTTATAAACGTAGTATACTTCATCTCTTTACACCAACTTCGGTAACTAGTAATAGTCTGTGCGTGGCTGCACGTGCATTGTATTAATATTATGAACCTACAAGACGATTGCAAAAGGTTAATTCAATTGGTAGAAAATAAAGGCATGCTGGTATTTATGGTTGCAAATTCCTGGTGTAAACTGTACCTGGTCAGTATTTGTACTAATGAAGGGTCAAGAAGTGGAAACAAAGCTGCTCCACAAAAATGATGCAATTATTGTGCAAGTGCAAAATTGACTTCCCTTTGCATGTGTTTGTGACAGTTGCCATGGATGGACAAATATACGATCAGGTCTTCGCGAACACTTCGTACCATGTCGTTACTCATAAACACGTGATTGTGATATTGTTGGAATCATACAATGGACTCTGCTTTCAGAAGAGTGAGTGAGTGAGTGAGTATGGTTTTACGTCGCTTTTAGCAATATTCCAGCAATATCACGGCAGGGACACAAGAAATTGGCTTCACACATTGTACCTTGTGGGTAATCGAACCGGGTCTTCAGCGGGACGAGCGAACGCTTTAACCACTGGGATACCCACCTCCCCGCTTTCGGAAGAGATTACTTGTGATGAAGGAAGGGTTTTGTTACCTTCATTCGGAGTCTTCGATTGCATTGACCAGACATTGGTAACATCGCGCACAGGGATTGAATATACGTCTGTATGTCTGTATGAATACAAGCCTAAAACTAACCTCAGATGCAGCAGACATTAACTCACCTTAATGGTTTTAACAGAGATTTCCTATATCATAAAAAACTGCTTTTGTCGCAAAATGAAAGATTATTCATCATCGAAATTGTCTTCCAAAGGAGATACTGCTTGGACGAGATCACGCGATAACAACCGGGACTTTCTGTAACAATGCTTTGCGTCTTAGGAGTGTACAGACATACGTCATCACCAGTCACTGCTATTGAACCTACTTATCTGTACTTTCATGTTGTTTACGACTTTTCGGATGTTAACGATTATTGTTGTTTCTACATTTAGGAAAAAGTGTTATGGGGTAATGGATCATGACGTTTAACGCTAATATACTATTCCAAAAAAGAAACGCATAGGCGATTTGTATTTTTAAAAACCTATTTAATTACCTATTGTGTTCAAACAATCGTCAAAATATATAACAAAAATGTTGATAGCATGATTTTACACTATTGCACAAGTAAAAAATCGATTTTACCTGAAAATGTTGATTTTGATGAGATTTCTTAAAAAGGCATCGCCACAACGCAACAGAAATCACCTTCCAGTTGAAATTGGGCAGCAAAGAGCATGCACTGTCTGGCAATAAAAAATCCAGATTACTTTCGGAAATCGGCATTCGTTTTAAAGGAGTTTCAAGGTCAAATCACAACGCTACGTCTTGACTCTGCGACACGGAACATCGCCATTGAAAAAATGCACGCTGGAGAATACAAATCTTCTGTTGCCAGGCGTCTGAATGTTAGTTTGACCACGATATCACGGCTTGCAGCTCGTTACAACCAAACAGGTATAACAAATAACCGTCCCCGTACAGGCAGACCTCGAGTCAACACTGCAGCCTAGATCGGTACATCCGGGTACTACATTTGCGGGATCGTACTGCCACGGGTGAGAGCACAGCAGCAAGGGTGCCTGGACTTCGGAGGATATCCGGTCAAACTGTACGGAACAGGTTGAAACAGATTGGTCTGAGAGCCAGGACGTCGGGACCGTGCTACGTCATCACCATCGCGCTCAACGTCTCCCTTATCTAAAATTATCCACTTGGTTGTATAGACATTATCTTCTTCTAAACTGGTGTAAACATTCATGCACAAAAGTCTATTTGTGGACGTGTTATACATGTTTAAAAATACAACATTTTCGCAACAGATTTCTGGCCTATGCGTTTCTTTTTGGGATAGTATATATGTTATATGAAAACTTTAAGGTATTTGGGTGAGATTCTCACGTATATTCATAATGAAGGACTAAGAGGTAGAAACGAGTCGTCTTTTACAACAGCAAGAAAACCTTCAATAGCGTTACGAAACGTGAACTTTAAGATCTGTGGTACGGGATTTAAGCCCTAGGTTGGATTGTCCTACTTTTAGTTTCCACCCACGCTATGTGATTACAAGGAAATGCGAGCCCATTGACCTCTGTACAAGTAGACCCACCTAATGTTGTGACCCTGTTGGTGGGAGTCTCAGCGCACTAATCGCGCATTAACTCAACCACTTCAGGCTCTGTATTGTCGATATAGTTGCTTCAACTGATATAAAGATATTGTTCTCTCGAGACTGTTAACTACAGTGTTGATGCAGAAACAAATGTTCACTTCAATTAGTTTATAATTTCATACATTAAAGATATTTGTTGTCAAAAGGTTATAATTCTATGTTGTAAAGTACAAAGTAATAAAATAGTGTAGTAATTTTCATTGTAAACTTAAGTTCAGATTAGGTTCAGAAAGTCTAGCTAGGCTATAACTGTTATTAGTTTTCCCAAAAATTATTATCATGATTGTCATGACTTGATTACTTCCCCTTATTGTTAGTGTTGCTCCTCATCAGAGCACATGGCTTGTCACTGTCTCCATGTTGGAGACATCAGCTGTTGTAGTTGGCATGAACACAAATGTGAGTAGCATTGTTTGCTATTGTAATATATTTCAATGCATAATAAGGTAATATTATTTGAAGGTTTTGTTAATTGTACATTTTATTCATTTATCTTGTGACTGTTAATTTTGAAGTTATAATCGTAGTGTAGTGGTTTATAAACACCGTAATAGTAAATTCGATAACAATTAACAGAGATTCATAGAATATCAGGATTTAACTTCATTTCTTTGATAGATATGATTAAGGTCTAAATGTCATGTTACAATTAAATATCTATTATTTCGGATTACACTTTCTCAGTAAGGTACATATTATAGCACTTTGTAGGTTTGAGTCCCTTCCAGGATTTGAACCCACTCTCTGATTGAGGCCAGCACACAACGCCAGCGATCTGACCCACTCAGCCAACGCATTTGTGTGCCTGTGTGACAAGGTAAACTGGCAAATATGACGTAATGAGGTCACAGTGCCCGTGAATCATCAAAGGGACTCGACCCAAAAAAGTACTAGAATCTCTACCTTACGTATTAAGTCTAATCCCAAATATACTACCCATCAAAAGTTTAGACTCACTTAAAGCACTCACTATATGTTATGTATATGTATGTGGTTACATCGAAGATGAATTTCTCCACCAACTTGGGGGAACCAACTGAAAACCTTATGCAGATGAATTGCACAAGGATGATGCTTCAAATTGCGAAAGGCATGAGCAAATGTCGTGCATGTGAACAGATGCGTTTTGGTGTAAAGTTTTGTTAAGAATTCGCCAATTTTCACAGATTTTAATCATTTACTGAACTCATGACAATAATCTTTTCAATGTTACGAATATGTTTTACAATACACCAGTTCATAACTAAACAGTACCTTTAAACAGTATGGAATATTTTGCAAAAAAGCTAGTTTAGAACAGTGGACAAGTAAGTGGCTACATTTACACTAGTGAGTCTAAACTTTTGATGGGTAGTATATGTTACATTTTATCGCTTTCTCAAACGTACTGTGTATTCAAAATACGTTCCTACGAAAACGATGATACCCATTCAGGTGATGCCAGTCTCTATTAAGCGATGCGGACGTAGGAAATAACCATGACGACAATGAAATAATTTCAACGTGAACTTCAGACAAACATCAAACCCCTCACGATGACATTACATCACATTACCAGCGGTGCATCACAACGTTGGGACCATGCCGACGTTTGGAGATCCTTACTACGCTCAGACACTGTATACTGATATCCCAACTGATCGATGCTCATGATGTTGATCACTGGGAATTGTGATTATTTAAAGCAATAATATTGCTTAGTGCGGCGTTAAACAAAAGACTAACCAACCAACCATTGTTACCAATGTGTAATGAATTCGAACCGACCATTCCTTGTTTTGATCCCTTAATACTGAGACCCATGCAGGGCAACTACAAAATACCACACTTTAATGTATTTTCCATGCAGCAGTGGCAGAAACTCTACACTCCAGATCTGCCGATTTAATAAGCCAAGTGTTTGATGTACGGATGTACTTCTTAAGTACATCTTAGCCGTTAATAAGTGCTTAAATAGGATTGGCTATGAATGTAGTTCATTCATTTAGACATAGGAGTGCCAGGTGAGCATTGGCGATTAAATTAACGGTATTTTGCAATGCTTGACTGACAGTGTCACATTTTACAGTGAATGCATGTTAGGCATTGATGATTTAATTGAGTATGTTTGCATTGGTCGATTGGTATTATCATATTGATTATACAGTTAATGCTTGTTAGGCATTGACGATTTAATTAAGTGTATTTTGCACTGGTTATTTGGATTGTCAAATTTTACAGTAAATGCATGTTAGACATTGACGATTTAATTGAGTATGTTTTGCACTGGTTATTGGTATTATCATATTGATTGTACAGTTAATGCATGTTAGACATTGACGATTTAATTTAGGGTACTTATTGAGCTGTTAGATTAGTATTATCATTCTTTTCTATAAATGCATTGTTAGGCATTGACGGCTTTATGAAATATTTAGCACTGCTGGATTGGGCTTATCATAACGCTTCCGTTGCCGCTGCCGTTGCCGTTGCCGTTGTGCATAAGAACAGACGTAACTGTGCTCAATTGCAATGTTTGACCTGGTGATTTGTTTGCTACCGACGATGTGGATCTGGTCATGTTATCTATCATGGGTTTATCTCACCTGGATTAGCAACTGAAATTGACACTGATGCGTGACACGGGGGGATAGTTGACCAAATCATTAATTGTTTTGTCCAGCTCTCCCAAAACAACGCTGGTTATGATAGGAAAACAAATCACTTGGTACATTTGCCAAATATTTAACTCATGGCAAGCTCGTACATTAGTACATTCATAATTATTCCGAGAACTATATGATGAATAGATGTACAGTTTAACACACATACACATACACACACACACACACAAAGACATGCACACTCAGACACACACACTACTTTTTATACCAAGACACGCACACACAAATACAACATACAGTTTTAAAATAATTCCACTACACAAACATATACATTACATCTCTTAATCATTCACAGTGTGGCTGAAGATACGAAAACTAAGTCTACCCATTTATGGAATAGAGTTTATAAATAAGAGGTGTATCTCCTACCCATTAACAGCTTATTCCATTTGGCACGTAAGTGCTCCTGTGCCGACTGTGTTGAGCCTACATGCTCCATGTGCTTAGACACTAGGATCAATTAATGTACATAAAAATAGACCCAGTCTGAGATTATACAAGTGAAAAGTGAATCACCTCACTGCCTTAGTGATGTAAAATTCCACAAAGGGACATGATCGAGATGTATCTTAAGCCTATAAAATTCAACCACCTCATTGTAGATAATAAGATATAGAATATAGACATAAGGTATAGAATAACCCTGACCCAAAAATGCTTTAAAATTAAACACAATTTTGGAGTTACGCTGTTTAAACATGTTTTTGTATAATCATATGAATACATAAAACACCATCGCCTGGTAACAGGAAAACCTCATATGTATCCAAATTCAATGTGATCTTAATTTACGTTAAATACTATGTTACTTACTAAAGAGTTTGCTTTCAGCAGTGTTTCACTTACATCTCGCCCTCTGTTTCCAAAACAGTCAAGGTAAATTTGAACATACCACTAACTTTAATCGTAGAATATATGTTATTTTAATTTATGGCTTGGGTCCATGCAAGAAGCAAATGTCCCCATGGTCCCTAGTATAGTGATCTAACATCAGTTGTTGGCAGTCTATAACCTGTATTTATATTGTATCGTCTTCAATAGTTAGATAGTCTTAGATTTGCATACTAGTTCCATATCTATGTCTGTGATACTCTAGTTGTTTTACTGTCCTTTGTTGACAAGGTTTTATGATTTGTCTCATTTATGATAAAATTTTAACGTGATTTTAGTCACGGTATGACTGAAATATTGCGATGTGACTTAAAATCTTAACTCACTCGCTCACTCTGACGCAGGTCTTAGATGTTAAGCACATTGATGTAACACACGATACTGATGAACCTTAACCAACACATAGTTACCAATAATCAGAGTGAACCGGATTTTGTCGCGCAATGACAGGCTAAGGGGCATAACTCGCCACGCCGTCTATTGCCTCTTGAGACGACTCGGTCATATATATCACTGCAGTTTAGGATTGGGCCAAAATAGATAATACATCGCTTTCACTCGTCATATATAAAATGCTTTAAAAATCTTGAATTTATTACTACCCCTTAACTGTATCAAGGACCTTTGAGAAAGCCTAGAAGTTTAAGTGCTCGCAAGACACCTTTGGGAGTTGTGATTCACTACACTGGTAAAATGTGTAGATACCTCTTCTCGTGTCCCTTGCAGTGATATTGAAAAGGGGCGGTGGGGTAGCCTAATGGTTAAAGCGTTTGTCTTGTCACGCCGAAGACCCGGGTTCGAATCCCCACATGGGTACAATGTGTGAAGCCCATTTCTGGTGTCCCCCGCAGTGATGTTGCTGGAATATTGCTAAAAGCGGCGTAAAACCAAACTCAGTCAGTCAGTCAGTGATATTGTAAAAGTATTTCTGTTTAAAGCGGCGAAAAGACCCAGCTCACCATCTCTCTCCGTTGGTTCTGCCTCTTCGTTTTACCAAGTAATATGCTCCAGTGCAATGTTCCCATCTACTAATGTTTCGTTAGGTATCATAAATATTAAATGAGGTCAAGGGCAAGATCAAATGATGGTATTTCCGTGACACTTCACGAGAGAAAAGGTATACATTATAAAATTCGTGTAGGATATGGTTCTCGAAATCATGATTATTTTTACCAGTGGGGCGAGTTCTTGATCCAATTTCTTTGAGTATCATATCCAACTTAAAACAAAGTAGAATGCAAGGTAACCTATTGTTCACCCAATAGACACGTGAACAGAAACTGAAAGATTTGTTTGGGTAAAAGCGTCATGAAAGATTGAACATTCAAATTTCTTCACTGTGACCACATAGAATGTATACACCATACTTTTGCTTTTGTACAAAAGATGTTTGTCTATGTACAGCTGTCCACAATTGGGACATAAACATGACTATAAATCTCAGGGCAATCAAACTACTGTGAGGCGAAACTTCGTTGGAAACAAATAGTGGGTGAGAATTCAAAGAAAGCTATTGAATGGCTACAGTTCAATATTCCGACATGTTCGAATGGGGTCATGCATTAAGAATTTCTGTAAACAATCTTAAACTAAGATTCATCTGAACATGTTTAATGGGGATAGCCTTCGTCTTTTTCAGAAGGAATTGCTATACGTGTTGATGGGGGCCAGACAGAGGTTCGAGAGTATACAAACTTTACATTGATTTGTGAAACAACAACAGACACTGGCAGGATAAAATGGTTCCTGAATGGCAGACGGATGGCTGTGTCCCTCAGACGGAAACCTAATTCCTGTTCTCTAATACGGTCTGCTAGGAAGAGGGGGGGAATATGAAACAATGTGCAAGGGGAAGCAACTCCTGCTTGTTGTAGAAGAGGTGACTAGTCAGGACAGCGGCAGGTGGTCGTGCGAGGATCCCAATGTAGACATGAAGAGCAACGAAGTTGAAGTTAAAGTTGTTCCTGATACTACTGGTAAGTTGTTGAATGCAGTCTGTCATGTCTCTCGTGTTAGTCATTGCAGAACAGCGTTGTTCCCGATACTACTGGTAAGTTGTTTGAATGCAGTCTGTCATGACTCTCGTGTTATTCATTGCAGAACAGCGTTGTTCCTGATACTACTGGTAAGTTGTTTGAATGCAGTATGTCATGTCTGTCGTGTTCTTCATTGCAGAACAAGGTTGTGTTTGTGTTACATTGTTTCTGCTTCAGCAGAGAATGTGTTGGATACTATTTTTAAACTAGGAGACGAGATTGGTGTGTACATCCGTACTTCCGGAAACCTTCAAAGTAGTCTGACCCAAAGAGTAAGAGAAGGTTCTGGAAACGTTTTGCACTTACAAGGAGCAGGTTCTTACACCGCCAACATTACTAAGACCAGCAACTGTGTGAAGATCACGTTCCACTCTGGATACATTCATGCATTTCCTCGAATGCCCAGTTCATGTTGTTTGTAAACTGACCCATCGTGCCATAGTCTGTCAACATATTTTTCTTTATCTGAAAAGGCAACATAGACTGCTGACTTAGTTCGCTTTGTAAATTCTGACATAATAGCTCAGTGGTCTTGTCCAAAAACAAACTGGAACATATCTGATTTATGCCTACGAAAGTTGTTTGTATGCAGTCTGTCATGTATGTCATGTTATTCATTGTGTTGTAGTTGTGTTACAATGATTGTTTCTGTTAAGATTCAGAAGAGAGCGTGTTGGTTACTAATTTAGACAGGGAGGCAAGATTTGTGTGGAGTTTTCTAATGTTGTCTTACCCAAAGAGTAAGAGAATGTTCTGGAAACTTTTTGTGTATAGATTTCGAATCACAGAACATGATCGCGAAGATAGACTACTTCATAAGAGAGACAGACGTAGACAAATCATAGAACTATTTACAAATGTACTCTTTTTCCAAGAAACATTTAAAAAACTTTCACATGCTCAAAAGTACCAAGTTGGGTAGTTATTTACAAAGTAAATGTTGCCAGGTATGTTAAAGTCAGGTATGTGTTCTGCCAAGACTGTAACTTGCTGTGGTCATCCTTTCAGAGTCTCCACCTTCCGATTTGCCGGAGTCCGTCAGTCTCACTGGCAACATCGTGAAGATTGTGTACGGGGTGGACCCGGTGTTGCTGACCTGCAAATGTCAGTGTGACGACATATACGTGTTTGCTTGGGACTACGGCAACGTCACTGCAAACGTGAGCGCGGTGAAGAGGACCTCGAACACATGTCTCCAACGACTGACTGCTTGGGTCTCCTGGAGAGATGACGGCAGTACCATCAAATGTATCATCACCAACCCCACTACGCAACAGACAGCATCGTCAAACATCACGTTAGACCTTCAGTGTGAGTACTTCTGTGTACTTCTGAGTCTGGACCGCCTTCTTTGTGGGGACTGTGTCGTAACTGGAGATCTGTTTGAATGATGTAAGTCGCTTGTCGGATGATCCCTAGTGTGTACATTATGAATAGACTGTGAGCATTGACGACCTTCGGTGTGAGTACTTTATGAATTGACTGTGGGCTATAACGATGATCAGTGTGTGTAAATTATGAATTGACTGATTGATTTGACGATGATCAGTGTGTGTAAATTATGAATAGACTGTGACCACATGACGACCTTCAGTGTGTGTACATTATGATTTGACTGTTAGTTTTCACGATGATCAGTGTGTGTACCTTTGACTATGATCAGTGTGTGTAAATTATGAATAGACTGTTAGCTTTGACGATGATCAGTGTGTGTACATTATGATTTGACTGTTAGCTTTCACGATGATCAGTGTGTGTACCTTTCACGATGATCAGTGTGTGTACCTTTGACGATGGTCAGTGTGAGTACATTATGAATTGACTGTGACCACATGACGACCTTCAGTGTGTGTACATTATGATTTGACTGTTAGCTTTCACGATGATCAGTGTGTGTACAAATATCCATTATGAATTGACTGTAAACATTGACGAACTTCAGTGTGTGTACATTATGAAATGACTGTTAGCTTTGACGATGATGTGTGTGTGTACATTATGAGTTGACTGTGACCACATGACGACCTTCAGTGTGTGCACATTATGATTTGACTGTTAGCTTTTATGATGATCAGTGTCTGTACTTTTGACGATGATCAGTGTGTGTAAATTATGAATAGACTGTTAGCTTTGACGATGATCAATGTGTGTACATTATGAATTGACTGTTAGCTTTGACGATGATCAGTGTGTGTACATTATGAATTGACTGTGACCACATGACGACCTTCAGTGTGTGTACATTATGATTTGACTGTTAGCTATCACAATGATCAGTGGGGGTACAAATATCCATTATGAATTGACGGTGAACATTGACGAACTTCAGTGTGTGTACATTATGAAATGACTGTTAGCTTTGATGATGATCTGTGTGTGTACATTATGAACTGACTGTGAGCATTGACGACCTTCAGTGTGAGTACTTCTGAGTGTTCCTGAGTGTTTACAACAATGTTTGTGGGGACTGCGTCTCATCGGTCAGTGTTGGTGACCTGATGTTATACCTCGCATGTCCGTACTGACAAGCCCCGGTGTGTATATTGTGTATTGGCTGTGTACATCTTGTACTGATTGTACATTGACGATCATCTGTTGTCGACATTAAATGTGAATGTCAATATTCAGAGCGAAAATAGAAACATTCGATGAAATATTGTCGGCATTGAGTGAGTGAGTATATTTTTACTCAACAATATTCCAGCTGTTTGGCGGCTGTCGACATTCAATGGGAGGATCTTCAAAATTCATAGTTGGTAAAAACGAATGTTACGTGTCCATTTCCAAGTTTGAACAAAATCTTGTTTGAAGTTTGAATTCTCAACCCATATGATCCGGATCTTCACGGGTCATACCGGAAGTATATGGTAGTTTTTTTTCCAAAAACATATTAAAATCAGATTTGATTACATGTTACAGACATGCCACAGAACCCTGTGATATCCATCTCGCCCCGGGACAATATCATTGAAGGTCAGGAGGTGAACATCTCCTGCCAGCCCCACCCTGAAGGCAAGCCCCGGGGGAAGACAACGGTTGTAGTGAGACCAGGCAATGATAATACACACACGAGACAATATTACGTGACGTTTCAAGTCTCACGAGAAGATGACGGCGCCGAGATCAATTGCTATGCAATCAATAAGTATACGCGTGGAAACAGCTCTGCATATTCGGACAAGGACTATTTGAGAGTGTTATGTAAGTATCTTACGAAATACTATGTGCATGTAAGTATCAATAGTGAGTGAGTGAGTTTAGTTTTACACCTCACTCAGCAATATTCCAGCTATATGGCAGCGGTCGGTAAATATTCGAGTCTGGACCAGACAATCCAATGATCAACTGCATGAGCATTGATCTGCGCAATTGGGAACCGATGACATGTGTCAACCATGTCAGCGAGCCTGACCACATGATCCCGTTAGTCGCCTCTTACGAAAGTATGGGTTACTGAAGATCAATTTTAACTCGGATCTACACGGGTGGAATTGTTGAGAAAACAAGATATTGTTGTGTCCACAGTGTGGTGGTTGACAAGATATAACAAGAGTCATCAGAAGGTGACAAATTCCCCCTGCCCCCAACATATTTGAAAGAACAAATAATCTGACAGTTACTTTAAGTTCAACTTGATTTTTTAAAACTAAGTCCTACTCGTTCCCATGGAAATCATGAAAAATATAAATCACAGAAAATCTGCAAGTAGCGAAAGGCACAACTTTGGGATCTACCTCATATATCTGCCAAGTTTTGCTGAAAGATATTGAAAGGTTTTCGAGTTGTACTCTGGAAACAAAGTCAACCCCTCCTTTTTGAGACTAAGTCATAACCGTTTCCATGGAAACCAAGACAAATACAAATGCCAAATATGCACAAATAGCAAAAGGCATCACGTTAGGGTATGTCTCATGTATCTGCTCAGTTCTGTTGACAGATATCAAACGGTTTTCGAGTTTTGCTTCGGAAATGTACCCCACACATCCCACCTTTCTGAGACTAGGAAATACTGAACAGTAAAAATGACAAAAATCTGTAGAAAGCAAAAGGCACCAAATAAGGTTCTGTTTGATATATCTACCAATTTTTGTTGAAAAATATGCTCCGGTTATGCTCCGGAAATAAAATGATTACGGACGGACAGACAGATAGAAGGATAGACGGACGAGGCGTCGACTATATTCTTCCGCATTACATGCCGGGTTCATAATAAGTCACAGAAGTCAAAGGTTTGGTTTGTGCACAGTTATATGTTCGATATCATAACTAGTATATGATCACTTAATATAAGCACATCCACTTTTGGTTCCATACATAAAACTTCTACCTGTTCATATAACATCACATTTGATATATACAATATACCCACCGCTTCTTTTTTTATCATCTCTTCAGATAGCCCAAAGTTGACAGTCACCTCGAACGTATCGATATCCGAAGATGGCATCCAGTCTGTGGCATTCACGTGCACCGCAAGTGGTAACCCTGACAGCACGACTTTCCTGCCCTGGACACACATGTATGGCAACACAGTTGTTCGAGCACTTGCAGGAACCAACAACTCCACGCACTCTATACTCCCGAATGTCATCACTTCGCTATCAAGACACGGGGATCTACATATGTAATGGCACCAATGGCATCGGCAGAAATGGTTCCATGTACAGCTTCCATTGGACGATGCTGGATGTACAGGGTAATACGTATTCTCTGAATGAGTGAGTGAGTGGTATTCCTTGTGTGTGGTGAGTGTGTGAATATAGCGTACGCCGCTTTGTGCAATATTACAGCAGTATCACGGCTGGGTACATCAGAAATCGGCTACCCATGTAGGGAATAGAACCCGATCCCTCGGCGTGACCAGCAAACGCTTCAACCACTAGACTACCCCACTGCCCCCTTTTGGGACTGGACTAAGCTCTTGTACATTAATTTCCATTTAAATAAATACCGTATCGCTAACTGGTGATACTTTCAATAGACAATTATAAACTTAAATGTATGAAGGGGCGTTGCTGGAGCCTAGTGGTTAAAGCGTTCGCTCGTCACGCCAGCGGAGACCCCGGTTCGATTCCCCACATCATGGGTACAATGTGAAACCCATTTCTGGTATCCCCCGCCGTGATATTGCCTGAATAATGCTACAAAAGCGGCGTAAAATTAAACTTACTCACTCAGCCAGTATTTGATGACCGCATTGTCGTATTTCCCCAGGACTTCCGTATTTTCCTGATTATACCGATGGCGTAACTATGGTGAAGACGCTGCAGAACTCGAGTTTCACCTTGACCTTCAGATATGTGTCTGACCCCGGGATCTAATGTCACGTGGTTTGCCAAGGGGGAACAACTCAGCCCTAATGAGACTGGTCCGTTTGTTGGATCATCCCCTGAGAAGATCAGTGTTGATATGTACGGTGAGATATATTGTGTGGGCAATAGTGCTGGTCCGATTAATTGAAATAATCAAATATTGGTCACAGTGACTAAACGAATAAGCAATTGATCATGTTTTCTGATAATCGAACACAATAAATTTTGGAACACTCGTTTGCATCAACAATATTTTTCACATGATGGGCTTTGTCTGTCTCATTAAATTTACATTTCATAAGCACTACAAGCTCGTTCCAAGTCATGATTGAATTTATCTTAAAGATAACATACAAGTGATCCTTTAAAGATGTGAAATTTGCAACTGCATTTTGTGCAATTCGCCTAAAACACAGAGAGCTTTCTTTATTTTTTTTAATTTTTTTTATTTTATTTTTTTGTGCATTAACAAACATAACAGGAAAAATTAGTAAATGACGCTAACAGATTATTTTGATGATTGATCGGTTGTAACGAAACAATCCTCAAGTATGAGATTTCCAGCACAAGTGGGCAATACCGTGATATACTGCTTGGGATACCGTTAATCAGTACCGCCAATTATTAATTGTACAGCAGTAGAAACACACACATTCATATAGACAGTGCATGAGGTTCACCCTGGACTTCATATAGGAATAAATGACGAATTTTACAGGTAAAAGTATACGTTTGTCTGGACATGAGGAGAGGCTATTATTTCCAACTGTATCGGCCGATAACGACGGAGACTACTTCATCCGGGTATGCAACGAATATGGCTGCCGTGACTCCAACATTATCCAGCTCAAAGCAACGGGTCAGTCCAACGCTGTTTACGGTATACGTCACCTTTTACTAAATCTAAACTATGGTTTTCGTGCACTTCAAAATGACCTTCACGGGTTCTCATTCCAATCAAAACACACAAAGCAAATTTATCAGTTCTTGAATGATCGGAGTAACTAACTGTTAGGTGATAAAATGAAATGTTATAGAAATCGATTCACCTTACACTTCATGTTTACCAAACGCAGGAGACCTGAGCCTAGATTTTCGAAGCTCTCTTAGCGCTAAGATAGTCGTAAGTTAATGTTAATGTATGGCACTTACGACTATCTTAGCGCTAAGAGAGCTTCGAAAATCTAGGCCCTGGTCTTCAATAACATCTGCTTGTCGTAAGAGGCAACTAACGGGATCGGGTATTCAGACTCGCTGACTTGCTTGACACAATGTTATGTCACCGTGTCCCATTTGCGTAGATCGATGCCCATACTGATGATCACTGGATTGTCTGGAATACTGATGACTCGGTTGATGGATGTGTCAATATTACACAGACCGGTGCTCATGACGTCAACCACTGGCCCAGGCTAGATTATTTACAGACCGCTTTCATATAACTGGCAATTGTGGGGTTTGTGTGGCGTTAACTACCAAACAAATAATCAAAATCCTAATATATGTCTGCGTCATGTGAAACACTTCAGGACTTAAACTGCAAAGTGAAATGGTTAATGACAATGTTCTTTTCATTTCTCACAATAGACACCCCACCTACGGGAGTCATAGTTGAGGGTCAGGAAGAATCTCCAGTCAATATGGCGTTAATAATTGGTATATCTGCCGGGGCCGCCATCTTAGTTATCGTCCTTGTCCTTGTGATATTACTGGTGCTTCAACGACGGAAGTGTGGAACCCATGATACAACAAGTATGTAATTTTAAAACTGCATTGACTAGTTCTATGTCTGATATAATATCCTTTTGGGGATTCCGGGTCAGACTATAGCCCCCATCACCCCACGAAGGACCAACCGAGCAGAATCTTGAGGGCTGGGTTTCAGGCAAGGTGATTTGGTTGGTTCTTTGTTATTGGACTCTGATAAGATAAGATATAACTTTATTACCCCGTAGGAAATTCTTTTTGTATCAAAAACGGCCTCAAAATGACTATATGCAAAATTCACAAAAAATATGCACAATAAAAACATGCACAAAATGAATGCTGGTGATTCCCCATGCATGATGACTATTCAAAAACATTTGTTGCATTAATAACACGAATTCTGGATGGCAGGAAGGACTGTCGAGCTCTGTTTGTTTTAAGTAAAGGCAATCGAAGTAGTTCAGATGGAAGTAGTTCAAAATGGTGAGATAAAATATGTGAACTATCAATTCTAATTTTAGTTGCCTTTTGACAATCTGGCGCTCATAGATAAAGGGGATGTACTCGAAAGACACTCAGTAATTTTGCTGACAGTATTAACAATTTTGAAAAGTTTGTTTTTGTTGCGAGCAGACAGACCCCCATACCAACATAAGATGATGAGATGGTCAGCTCCGCGTTAGTAATTAAAAAAGCATCGCATTGTCTGACAGAGCCGCTGTCATGCAACTGGAATAATGTATTGCTGAGAGCAACAAACAAAGAATCAACAAAATGAACAATCAAATGAACCATTAAATAATGCAATCATAGCAACGTTAGACAGCAGTTGCTATTTATTGAGAGTACAATATGAAACCTTTGAAACTCATTTATGTCTTGAGTAAAAAAACGAATACACATAAAGATCCTGGTTAGCATTGATCTTGTCATTAGATGCAAATGACGAGATCCGGTGATGTAGTTGATCACACGCTTTCATCGTATTACATGCTTTGCATCAATGCTCATTAAGTAATTCACTGGATTGTCTGGTCCTGATTCGACTTTTACAAGCCACCACCAATATAGATAGAATGTTTCTGTTGGAGCATTAAGCAACATACAAACAAAACCGAAATCTGTTACGTAATACAGAGAAGAGCGTGTACGAAGCACACGCAAACCAAAGGTATACAACACATACTAAACTGAGGTACAAAACAAAGTATACACTGCTGCTGTGGGGACTATTTTAAAAAAAAGACCGTCAATATTTCTACAAGCGTTTTTTTTTATTCATGTTGATCCTAAAATGATTCCAAATCAACATGTGTGCATTTTTTTGTGTACGCCATTTTATATCTCAGCTCATTCTCAAAATTACCTCATTTTGAATAATTGTAAACACGCCAGTTGAACTGGATGATTGTAACTGAAGATAAATGTTTCAAGAATGCATGACGTGTATCTTGTAAATACAATATTGTCGGGGTACCAATGGTTTTATGTAATCCCTTGTATTTCCTTGTTGGTGACAGAGCTCTCCAACAAACGGGTAACACGATAAAACAAATACATGCTAAGTCACAACATTCAATTATTACTATAGCTAGTTGTCACAATGTTATTACATGAATTCAGTGTTTTCGGAATATAAAGCTTCCATTACAAACTCTTGAATATTAGTGTTATTTTGAGTATGTCTTTCTAGGTGATAGAGCTCTTCACAACACAAACGGGTAAGAATGTAAATTTTGTTATATACTATGTAATTTGTATGAGCCATGTAAAGATTTGTAATTTGTGTAAAATTTATTGTTTATAATGCTGATTATTTTGTCGAAAATATTGACTTAATTAGAGAGAATCCTTACAGGTACACATCAAATAGGGATCGGTGATTCCATTCTCTGAGACCCTTTGTCAAGAATCACCAGACTTTTTTTATTCACACAGGTTATCCGTCACGAAGGAAAATGCTGCCTACGAACGAGACAGTTTAGGTAATGTAAATACTGTCTTCTTTTAATTTTAAGCCTTTAAACATTTAAAAACATTATAAGTTTATATTGCCCATCCTCGCCACTCTTCTGGGATCAGTTTGAAAAAGTAATCAAAATTTAATATTTCCTGTCGTTTTATTTTTCTGAGATTAAAACCAGTTAATGACAGAAAAGGGGTGGTCCTGACTGTGATAATGACTTACAATATGAGTATTGTGTCATCAATAACATCTTGCACACACTAATGTGATGAAAGTATTCTTCCATTGTCATACACAAACCCGTGAAGATCCGGGTTAGAATATTGATCTTCAGTAACCCATGCTTGTCGTAAGAGGTGACTAACGGGATCGGGTGGTCAGGCTCGCTGACTTGGTTGACACATGTCATCGGTTCCCAATTGCGCAGATCGATGCTTATGCTGTTGATCACTGGATTGTCTGGTCCAGACTCGATTATTTTATAGCTGGAATATTGCTGAGTGTGGCGTAAAACTCAACTCACTCACTTGTCACACACAAGAAACTAGAATGAATGTAACTTGTAATAGTAATGTTACATACCAAGGCCATCATTTTTCTGCTGAGTGCAAGATGGAAGGTGGAAAAAGTATTGTAGGTTATACCCTGAGTATGGGACCTGTCTTTTATAATTGGGAGGGTGGCTCACAGGCCAGAGGGAGGTGACCAAAGGTTATACCCTGAGTATGGGACCTGTCTTTTATAATTGGGAGGGTGGCTCACAGGCCAGAGGGAGGTGACCAAAGGTTATACCCTGAGTATGGGACCTGTCTTTTATAATTGGGAGGGTGGCTCACAGGCCAGAGGGAGGTGACCAAAGGTTATGAGTCTCTGCGCATTAAGAATAAAGCGCAATTAAAAATATGGACATATGAAATATGGACAAGGGTCATGTAAAAGGACATAGACATGACAGGCACTGGGTACGCCATTGTTTTATGTATATTTGTGCATCAAAAGTCACTGACACGCACCCACACATGGCCCATATAACAGGCAACCATCTTGTTTTACAGGCGCGACTGAGAGGGAGCACAAACGTAATGGCTCAGACAAGGACTCAATCTTGGGTAGGTGTTTGGTCTCAGATAATACTACATTAGATTGCAGTGGAATGCCTTTTACTGAAGTCACAAATGTTGAAAATAATTAAATCAAACCGAATATTATGCTCATTGTACTGTGTCTCTGTGAAAATTTGGATATGATAATATGCATCCACCACGTCACACGCCTGACCATACGAAGCCATTGGTCGCCTCTAATGACAAGCATGGGCTCATGAAGATCAGTATATACACGGATCTTCACTGGTAAGAAGATGTAATTGTATTGAGTAGCATAATAGGACAACTCAACTCATCAGTGTTAATCCCAATTCTGTAGGGTGTTATCACACACTTCGTGTCACTACTTTGTGTCACTTTCAGGCTAGTAATCCAGCGAACATGAGGTGCCGGGATCGAGCCCACCTGTGATCGGGTTTAAAAAACCTTGGAGTCAACTTAGTGTGCAGGCACTTTCAGTGTTGTCATAACCCCTAGTGTACAGCACACAACCCTGTGCACTTGAAAGTACCCACGAATCCGTTGGTATATGACCAGATGGTGGCAACATGAATACGTGCAAACACCTAGTTGCGGGTACAGCAACGTGCAGTAAACTTGGACAAAGTACTGTGACTATGTGTTCCAGTCCACCCAGCTGTGAATGGGTACCTCGTAAGGATGGGAAAGCAACATTAACTCGGTGCGCCTAGTGGCTGCAAGAGTTGTATGCTCCCCCAGGGAGTTGAGATTGATAATACGAAGTTCCGTTGAGACTGACATCCTATGATCGAGGGAAAAAAACAAAGCGCCTGTGAGCAGCCTAGCTGAAACTCGGCGCTATATAAATAGAGTAATAATAATAATTCGAATGCCGGGACGCTACCAGGACGACAATGATACAGAGCATGTTCTGCTCATGTTCTGCACGAGTGTGCACGTATTACAATGTATGCATTTGTCAAACAACGAACAGTCTGAATATGTTTAACCGGTGACGTACTTCTTAACCCTGTGTTACACTAACTTATTTATTTCAGTGATCATAAAGAGCAGCCTGTACGGGAAGTCCGTGGCGGCAGACCAATCTGAGGGACACGGTGCCACGTCAGAACCTGGAGGTAAACATGATTATCTTTAAACTGACCGACTGAGTTTGGTTTTACGCCGCTTTTAGCAATATTCCAGCAACATCACGACGGGGGACACCAGAAATGGGCTTCACACATTGTACCCATGTGCGGATTCGAACCCTGGTCTTCTGCGTGACGAGCCAACGTTTTAACCACTAGGATACTCCACCGCCCCTATCTTTAAATGTATAAATACATGCAGATGTTAAAGCTGGGATATCCTCAAAGCAATTCTGGCTTTTTGGGTCAGTTGGGAAGAAATCCTTGTGCTATCGGTCTCACGCATGGTGTTACTAGAGTGGTTTAACTGGTGTTTTGTTACAGTTCTGGTGTTACTAGTCTCGTGTTTCTGTTCCCAGCCTCTGCTGCAGTTTCCCCAGGGGTGTACATGGAGGTGCAGCATCCGGACCAAGGCGGCAGCAAAGAGGCTGAGGCCGAGGCTGAGGAGGAGGCAAAGACTCGTCACGAGGAAACTCAGGAGGAAGCAGATGGTAAACAATTGACAATTAATCCATTGTGTAAGAGAGTGTATACGTGTTCGTATTTTCCGTTAGTGTCATTTTCAAAAACTGTAAGCAGGTTTTTTGACAATTTTGTTGTGTGAGTTATTTACCTTATATTTATTTACGATTATAATTTACAAGAAATCTTACCAACCCTGATTTAAGCCAGCGTTCGAAATTAACGTCGGCCCTTAAGCCCGAAGCCGACCTAAAACCACTCGGATCATCAGCTTTTGGTTTCTGCAGGTCCTTATGGCCGACAGTTTTTTATCCCCAATAACTGAAAGTATTAATTTTCAGAAAATATAATTCAGTAATTTCTAGCTTTCATCTCGATCAGCAGATGTTGTCTGTATGTGAAACGACTATCATTGACGAGGAAACAATTTAGCTCAGCGACTTTTCAAACGACTTCGATCTTGACATGGATGTTGATTTTGTTGAAAATGAAGACGAGTCAGTCTGAACCAAGTTAATTTTAACTTTTTAACTCGGTTTGTTAGTTGTCACATTTTTTGTTTTCTGGGAATTACTTATATTGTAGCTAAAATAGGGCCTACACATTCTGATCAGGACCCACAACTTTTTATGGTTCTGGGACCCCAGGGCCTGCAGCTTTTTAGGGTTGAGGGTTAAGGACAAACACTGAATTTAAGCCAAATAACGTTCCTGAATACCACTCAAGTGAAAAGTAGTTTTTAATTATGTTGATAAAGCTAGGACATACGCTCCTCCATACATGAACTATAATCGTTTATTAGATGGCATACGTACACATGTAATTCGCTGGTCAATGGAAAGACGTGCATTCTTGTTTAATAATACGTTCACGGTCTCTTTCAAGCGGAGACTGAGAAAATCGTCACCGAAATTTACTCTCAAGTTCAGAAGCCCCGCTCAAGCCAGAAAGGCTCAACCGTCAGTGATGACGTTCCCATCGAGGTCATTGACGACCCGCCACTTGAGGACGCTTTCCGTGATGTTGGTAAGATGAAGTAACGAGGATTAATTTCATGTTCTCATCCGCCGGCTGGGCTGCTTGAAGATGAACTGCGTGGAGATGTGCGGGGCAATGGTCTGAGCTGAGTCCTAACCGGGGCCCTGATCCACAAAGGGCCACGAACGCTTTGTCGATCGAGACCCAGCCTGACAAAGCAAAGATGTCCCGTTCCCTCTGCATTTGTTTATGGTACTCTGTAAATAATGATGAGGTAACATTCACATTACTCACTTCCCTACCGGGTACCCATTTACAACTGGGTAACTAACGGAACCTTGCATTTTCGTCTTTATATCCGTTAATCGTCGACGGTGTTTGATTAATACAGTGTGTTTCATATGCCAGTCAGCTAGCAGATACTAATTATGACTCAGATGACTCAACAGTATCTGTAAACATTTTTTGGGGAATGTATACACGTTTGCTCTAACGTTATTAACTAAATGTAAGGCACATTGATACCATGGCATGAACTATGTGCAAATACGATTATAAAACTTATTGATGACCTGTCACCAAAACAATTTCGTTTTCTTTCAGATTTAGAAAATAAGGATGACCCTGGGGATGCTGAAGATGACAATTCGTAATTGCCAGCAGAATATACAGCTGAACCAAGATTGCAACGAAAGAATACTTTCCACCAATGCACCCAAAACAGCAAATTGTCTAAAAAGATCCCTATTAAGACTGGGAGTAGTAGCCTGCTGATTAACGTCGTTCGTTGTCGCGCCGAGGACCTGGGTTGGATTCCCGCATGGGTTCAATGTGCGAAGTCCTTTTGTTGTGTGACCGCCATGATATTGCTGGCATATTGCTATAGATGGCAAGCCCTACTCACATAAACGCTGGCTCGTTGTAAACATGATAGAAAAGCTACCTTTTCGCTCGTATTTTGTATTGCAAAGTGTAGATACCCATACACTGTCTTATCGGCCGTTGTAGTAGTCTTGTTGAGAATGCATCCTGCTTGTCAGCTGTTGGATCCTGGTAAGCAGCTGCAAAGGAAATTATACATTCAGGCCCCGATGTCTCGAAACAAACTTAACTTTTTACTCAAATTTCAAACTGAGTTTGACAATTTGAAACAGCTGAATTTTAAACTCAGCTGCATTTTTTAAATAGAAGAGCCCAAACATCTTAAGTAATCTATCCACCAATCTCAAATTGTCTACTATGTTTGAGTTAATTATCGATTTTAGTTCATTCTGGGAAATGCATTTTCTCAAATTTGAGTAAAAACTCTAACTTAAGTCAAAAGTCGGACTTAAGTTTGTTTCGAGAAATCGGGGCCAGATTTCTTGGGGTTCAGTTTGATCATCAGGATCGCCATTTATATTTATGCTCAGTCTATAAAGACCAAACATTAGTTTCAGATTGCAATGGTCACCATGTCACTAGGTTAAAAACCGTGATAAGAACGAAATAATGACTGTTCAGGTTCCACTTGTAACGCTACTGAACTAATCAACTATCATCAACTATCTTCAACGATCATGTGTATAACTGTGTATATATGTATAGCTGGGTATTGTCCACTGAACTTTCAAATCAACAATGAATTTCACTCGAAGTAGAATCGCTGTATTGCTTGTATATACTGTGGCAGTTTGTCTATGATGCTTAAGAACTTCAATACATGTTCTGCGTGGGTTCTCGAACAATCTCGTGAACACAGATTGTCTCCGTTAATAGGAGATTTACTTCATTCATTTATACCGCCTTTTAATGTAATCAACTGTTGATATGCATTTTTATACCTTGTACAGCACGTGCCTTTTGTGTTGTTTTCATTGTCCATTTTTTAATTAATTCATCCATTATGCCTTTGTACACATATACTGCTTCATTGCTTAATAAACGTTTTTGCAAACATTAATGCTACCATTGTTTAGTCCTTTGAATTGAATGATACCGGTCATACACTTGTAACCATGAGACTTTGTCAGTGCTCGGGATTGGTCATTGATTGATTAAGTATATATATCATGTAATTTGTGATATATCGTAAGCACTGCCACTATATAGGACACAAAGGATTGTTAACAGATGGAGGCACGGGCATGGTTCTGGGAAACATAGGGTTGTTAACATGGCGAAACAAGGCACAGTGCAGTGTTACATGTTACACATGTTATATTTGGGATTACACTTTCTCAGTAAAGTACATATTCTAATACTTTATGTTATGTTCAGTCCCATTCGGGATTCGAACCCACATCGTCAGAGTCAGCCCTCTAACCACTCAGTCACAGCCGCTCCCACAAAAGTGGAAGTCGGAAAACTTGTCTAGACCACGGACATTGTGTGCCCCCCTGATTGGTGTAAAATGGAGGATCCCATGACCGAAAGCTATGAATATATAAATATAACATGTGTTACATTGGGAAAGCACGGGTACAGTGCTGGACAACAAAGGATTGATACTGTTAACAGGGTGAAGTACAGGCATAGTGTGAGGCAACAAAGGATTGTTAACAGGGTGAGGGACAGGCATAGTGTGAGGCAACAAAGGATTGTTAACAACGTGAAGTACAGGCATAGTGTGAGGCAACAAAGGATTGTTAACGGGGTGAGGTACAGGCATAGTGTGAGGCAACAAAGGATTGTTAACAGGGTGAAGTACAGGCATAGTATGAGGCAACAAAGGATTGTTAACATGGTTAAGTACAGGCATAGTATGAGGCAACAAAGAATTGTTAACAGGGTGATGTACAGGCATAGTGTGAGGCAACAAAGGATTGTTAACAGGGTGAAGTACAGGCATAGTGTGAGGCAACAAAGGATTGTTAACAGAGTGAGGTACAGGCATAGTGTGAGGCAACAAAAGATTGTTAACAGGGTGATGTACAGGCATAATGTGAGGCAACAAAAGATTGTTAACAGGGTTATGTACAGGCATAGTGTGAGGCAACAAAGGATTGTTAACAGAGTGAGGTACGGGCATAGTGTGAGGCAACGAAGGATTGTTGTTAACAGGGTGAAGTACAGGCATAGTGTGAGGCAACAAAGGATTGTTAACAGAGTGAGGTACAGGCATAGTGTGAGGCAACAAAAGATTGTTAACAGGGTGATGTACAGGCATAATGTGAGGCAACAAAAGATTGTTAACAGGGTTATGTACAGGCATAGTGTGAGGCAACAAAGGATTGTTAACAGAGTGAGGTACGGGCATAGTGTGAGGCAACGAAGGATTGTTAACAGAGTGAAGTACAGGCATAGTGTGAGGCAACAAAGGATTGTTAACGGGGTGAGGTAAAGGCATAGTGTGAGGCAACGAAGGATTGTTAACAGAGTGAAGTACAGGCATAGTATGAGGCAACAAAGGATTGTTAACATGGTTAAGTACAGGCATAGTATGAGGCAACAAAGGATTGTTAACAGGGTTAAGTACAGGCATAGTGTGAGGCAACAAAGAATTGTTAACATGGTGAAGTACAAGCATAGTGTGAGGCAACAAAGGATTGTTAACAGAGTGAGGTACGGGCATAGTGTGAGGCAACAAAGGATTGTTAACAGGGTGATGTACAGGCATAGTGTGAGGCAACAAAGGATTTTTAACAGGGTGAGGTACAGGCATAATGTGAGGCAACAAAGAATTGTTAACAACGTGAAGTACAGGCATAGTGTGAGGCAACAAAGGATTGTTAACATGGTGAAGTACAAGCATAGTGCTGGGAAACAAAAGATGTTAACAAGGATTGTTATGATTGCTTTTATTCAAACCTTTGTCACAGCTTTTTAGCCTGGACATAGTGCATGAAGCAAACTATAGTTATCAGGTCATACTTGTGGCACATTGGCACAGACTGTAACAAGAGGATGCCTTGTGCAATCATTTCCGCAATGATATCCGTACTTCCGACAATGCGATGCTATGTCGTGTACTGTGACACGTGTGTGATATATATATATAAGTGGATATTTAAATTTACTCGGTTCCAATGTATGTGTGTATGTATGTATGTATGTATGTATGTATGTATGTATGTATGTATGTATGTATGTATGTATGTATGTATGTATGTATGTATGTATGTATGTATGTATGTATGTATGTATGTATGTATGTATCTAAGTATGTATGTATGTATGTATGTATGTATGTATGTATGTATGTATGTATGTATGTGAATGCGTGCGTATGCGTGCGTGCGTGCGTGCATGCGTGCGTGAGTGTATGTATGTCATGGATTTCAAAAGTCTTCATCCTTGATAAATTAAAGAGATCAGGGACCCTCGGCTCACTCATTATTAATGCACGACTGTGAAAAGAAATGCTCCATATGGATTTCATAGATGCAATGATTTAATCAGGTGATATATATATATATACATACACAAGAGCAATGGTTGAATATCCGATCCTCCACCAACACCCCAACAGTAGCACATAGCAACAGCATCGGTTCCCATCCACTAACATCATCCAACACCTACCACTACAGAGAGAGTGACAGAGAGTGAGTGAGTGAGAGAATGAGTGAGTGAGAGAGAGAGAGGGTGGCGTAGAGAGAAAGACTGTGACAGAGACAGGCAGAGATATAAAGAAAGACGAGTGACACAGAGAGTGGGGGGAGCGAGTGATAGAGGCGAAGGGAGAGAGGGGGAGAGTGACAGAGAGAGAGTGAGTGACAGAGAGAGGGTGTGGTAGAGAGAAAGAGAGTGACAGAGAGAAATAGATACATAGTGAGGGAGAGAGGGTGTGGTAGAGAGAAAGAGAGTGACAGAGAGAAATAGATACATAGTGACAGTGAGAGGGTGTGGTAGAGAGAAAGAGAGTGACAGAGAGAAATAGATACATAGTGACAGAGAGAGGGTGTGGTAGAGAGAAAGAGAGTGACAGAGAGAAATAGATACATAGTGAGGGAGAGAGGGTGTGGTAGAGAGAAAGAGAGTGACAGAGAGAAATAGATACATAGTGACAGAGAGAGGGTGTGGTAGAGAGAAAGAGAGTGACAGAGAGAAATAGATACATAGTGGGGGAGAGGGTGTGGTAGAGAGAAAGAGAGTGACAGAGAGAAATAGATACATAGTGACAGAGAGAGGGTGTGGTAGAGAGAAAGAGAGTGACAGAGAGAAATAGATACATAGTGACGGAGAGAGGGTGTGGTAGAGAGAAAGAGAGTGACAGAGAGAAATAGATACATAGTGACAGAGAGAGGATGTGGTAGAGAGAAAGAGAGTGACAGAGAGAAATAGATACATAGTGACAGAGAGAGGATGTGATAGAGAGAAAGAGAGTGACAGAGAGAAATAGATACATAGTGAGAAGAGAGGGTTTGGTAGAGAGAAAGAGAGTGACAGAGAGAAATAGATACATAGTGACAGAGAGAGGGTGTGTAGTAGAGAGAAAGAGAGTGACAGAGAGAAATAGATACAGTGAGGGAGAGAGAGGGTGTGGTAGAGAGAAAGAGAGTGACAGAGAGAAATAGATACATAGTGACAGAGAGGGTGTGGTGAGAGAGAAAGAGAGTGGCAGAGAGAGAGAAATAGATACATAGTGGGGAGAGGGTGTGGTAGAGAGAAGAGAGTGACAGAGAGAAATAGATACATAGTGAGGGAGAGGGTGTGGTGAGAGAAAGATAGTGACAGAGAGAAATAGATACATAGTGACAGAGAGGGTGTGATAGAGAGAGAAAGAGTGACAGAGAGAAATAGATGCATGAGTGATAGAGAGAGGGTTTGGGTACAGAGAAAGAGAGTGACAGAGAGAAATAGATACATAGTGACAGAGAGAGGATGTGGTAGAGAGAAAGAGAGTGACAGAGAGAAATAGATACATAGTGAGGGAGAGAGGGGTGTGATAGAGAAAGAGAGTGACAGAGAGAAATAGATACATAGTGATAGAGAGAGGGTTTGGTACAGAGAAAGAGAGTGACAGAGAGAAATAGATACATAGTGACAGAGAGAGGATGTGGTAGAGAGAAAGAGAGTGACAGAGAGAAATAGATACATAGTGAGGGAGAGGGTGTGGTAGAGAGAAAGAGAGTGACAGAGAGAAATAGATACATAGTGACAGAGAGAGGGTGTGGTAGAGAGAAGGATAGTGACAGAGAGAAATAGATACATAGTGAGGGAGAGAGGGTGTGGTAGAGAGAAAGAGAGAGACAGAGAGAAATAGATACATAGTGACAGAGAGAGGGTGTGGTAGAGAGAAAGATAGTGACAGAAAGAAATAGATACATAGTGAGGGAGAGAGGGTGTGGTAGAGAGAAAGAGAGTGACAGAGAGAAATAGATACATAGTGACAGAGAGAGGGTGTGATAGAGAGAAAGAGAGTGACAGAGAGATAACGAAAGACGAGTGACACAGAAAGTGGAGAGAAGAGTGAGTGATGGGAAGAAGGGAGAGAGAGTGAGAGGGGAGAAAGAGGGCGTGAGGGAGGAAAAAGAGAGTGACACAGAGAAAGGGGAGGCAGACAGACTGATACTGCAACACGTCAATACACATCCCTTTGATTGGGGTTTAAGAAGTTGATTAGTAATTATTATTACATGTAAGAAAACGGTATAAGAATCCACACTGAAACTCGGCATCATAAGTTGTCAGCCATGAAGCATCTTGCCTTTATGACACATGCGCAAGCACACACAAATCAACACACACACACTCATTCACGAAAATTTCTTAACACATACACAAATCAACACACACGCTCACATAAATTCACAATCACAGATCAACATATACATACATACATACCAATCAACACACACACATACAAATCAACACACACATTCATATAAATCAATACACACATTCATATAAATCAACACACACATTCATATAAATCAATACACACATTCATATAAATCAACACACACATTCATATAAATCAACACACACATTCATACTAATCAACACACACATTCATATAAATCAACACACATACATCATATAAATCAACACACACATTCATACAAATCAACACAAATACATACAAATCAACACACATAGATCATATAAATCAACACACATACATACAAATCAAAACACACATTCATATAAATCAATACACACATTCATACAAATAAAAACACACATACATACAAATCAACACACATAGATCATATAAATCAACACACACATACATACAAATCAACACACACATATATACAACTCAACACACACATACATACAAATCAACACACATTCATAAAAATCAACACACATATATACAAATCAACACACACATACAAACACATCAACGTACATTCATATAAATCAACACACACATACACAAAAAATCAACACACACATTCATACAAATCAACACACACATTCATATAAATCGATCAACACACACATACATACAAATCAACACACACATTCATACAAATCAACACACATACATCATACAAATCAACACACACATTCATATAAATCAACACACATACACACAAATCAACACACACATTCATACAAATCAACACACACATTCATATAAATCGATCAACACACACAAAGATACAAATCAACACACACATTCATACAAATCAACACACATACATCATACAAATCAACACACACATTCATATAAATCAACACACATACACACAAATCAACACACACATTCATACAAATCAACACACACATTCATATAAATCGATCAACACACACATACATACAAATCAACACACACATTCATACAAATCAACACACATACATCATACAAATCAACACACACATTCATATAAATCAACACACATACACACAAATCAACACACACATTCATACAAATCAACACACACATTCATATAAATCGATCAACACACATTCATACAAATCAATACACACATACATGCAAATCAACACACACATTCATACAAATCAACACACATACATCATACAAATCAACACACACATTCATACAAATCAACACACATACATCATACAAATCAACACACACATTCATATAAATCAACACACATACACACAAATCAACACACACATCATACAAATCAACACACACATTCATATAAATCGATCAACACACACATACATACAAATCAACACACACATTCATACAAATCAACACACATACATCATACAAATCAACACACACATTCATATAAATCAACACACATACACACAAATCAACACACACATTCATATAAATCAACACACACATTCATATAAGTCGATCAACACACACATTCATACAAATCAACACACACATACATACAAATCAACACACACATTCATACAAATCAACACACACATTCATACAAATCAACACACACATTCATACAAATCAACACACACATTCATACAAATCAACACACATACATCATACAAATCAACACAAGCATGTACACTCTTACACTCTTTCTCTCTCTCTCTCTCTCTCTCTCTCTCTCTCTTTCTCTCTCTCTCTCATAAACACACACACAATTCTCTTCACAAATACACGATTCAACGCATATGCTCATACAAATCGACAATCACAGATCAGTAAGCACATACATACAAATCAACACACATACATACAAATCAACACACACACACACACACGTTCTCTCCCATCCCAGCTGTCAGTGCTTGTAACGTGAACGCTGCACCTACTTGATGTACATGCCCTAGTGAGAGGTAGAGGAAGAACACCAGATACCAGTTTCCTGGCCCAGTGACAGGCTGTGGAGATTGCTGACAGCATTCACAAGCTGGTCCTCGTCGATTGTAATATGGAGTTGGAATGTCTGATATTAGCAATAATCAGTCACGTCATCCCTGTCCAGGGTAGGTAGATTCTTACTAATCTATTCAAACATTGCATTACGCTAACACATTAAAATATTCGAATACTATCACAGTGATAATATAGTAATATGTATCCCTTACATTGGCGTTCAGTTATAGCTCACGTTCCCCACAAATGGGAGATTCGCTGTGGCCTGTTGTGAAGTGGCATCTGCATATTTATCTGGAGCTAGATTTTCGAAGCTCTCTTAGCGCTTAGATAGTAGTAAGTTAATGTATGGTACTTACAACTATCTTAACGCTTCGAAAATCTTGGCCCCGGTTGTTACGATATTTGATTGTTGTAAAATTTATATCAATTCGGGGCGACTTTATTCTCTTTCAACAACGTGTGGCTTGTTTGAGTGGCATTTTAGAAGTTGAGACGTGCAATGTACAACATATTTTTATGGATTGCAACTTCTTTATTTCGAAAATGCAACGTTTCGATACAGATTCTTGTACCGTTGTCAAGCATCACTCCTGCTCATAACATTTCGTTACACAGAAAATAAAGGCATTTCAGTTATATCACGTAGTGTCAGCTTGACGGAGTGCAACGGACGAGCGCATGTTGATACTGACGGTACTTTGATGATAATCAGGGAAATGAAGGATCGTAGTGAGTGAGTTTAGTTTTACGCCGCACTCAGCAATATTCCAGCTATATGGCGGCGATCTGTAAATAATCGAGTTTGGGCCAGACAATTCAGTGATCAACAACATGAGCATAGATCTACGCAATTGGGATACGATGACATGTGTCAACCAAGTCAGCGAGCCTGACCACCCGATCTCGTAAGTCGCCCCTTACGACAAGCACGGGTTACTGAAGATCAATAGTCTAACCCGGATCTTCACAGGTCCATGAGGGATCGGATTCGAAGGTATGTTTCCAGCTATCCTTCTGACGCAAATCTACACATAACACTTTGAACCCATTCGTCATTTTGATCAAAATGAAGAGTTTTCACCTGACAATAGTTAGGCACAAATATTTGTTGCAAATATTAATATTTATAGAGGTGACCTTTAGTCAAAATGCAGGTAATATAAGAGATCTACAGTGTCAGCTATAGCCTTTACATTTGATAGTGTACGTGTGCGTGTGCATGTACTTGTGTGTGTGTGTGTGAGAGAGAGAGAGAGAGAAAGAGAGAGAGGAGGGGGAGGAATCGGTTCGTTAAATGAAACAGTATATCACATTTTATAATTACGCGTGTCTCTTCTGTTCCAGGCAACGCAACCACAGAAGGCCTAACAACATATGAAGGTAGGTTCAGAAACAAAATGATGTCAATGCATCACAGAACCTTTCAAGATAAGGGTTAGGAATGATCTTAGTTTAAAGTAACCCATAATTGTTGAGGTGGCGACTGACGGGGCTTGTTCGATTTATGTCATCGTGTTCAAAATTAGTTCATCAGCGTCAGGCACTGGATTGCCTGGTCCAGGCTCGATATATTAATGACTGCCATCTTAGATCTGTAACCTTGCAGCCTGTGTCGTTAAACAACAAACAAAGCACAACACTGGCTTATTGACAATGGTATGCTGATATGATGTATGTGTGTCGGTAACATTATTCATAAATGAATGCAATATGAGATCTACCTGATTGAGAAAATGAGAAGAAAATGAGCTTTTTTAAGATTTAAGAGGCATTCCTTGAGGTTGGTATTTTATGTAATTGACGTTACTGACATCACTTTTGCTTGTATCGACATTCCAAGTTATAAATTTATTCCTTTTAATTTTTTTTTGGGAGAACAAACGACAACAGAGGCAATCATTCCTGAAATAACCAAAGGTGAGTTGTATGTCCTTTTAGACTCAGAACTAAAGTTCAATTATATGGTGTGCATATCATGTATATGATTCAGGTTAGAATGCCTACCAAGCAGCCGACCCGTGAAGATCCGGGTTGAAATATCTCCTTAGAAACCCATGCTTGTCGTAAGAATCGGGGTCGGGTTGTCAGGCTCGTTGACTTGGCTGACAAATGTCATGGTATCCCGATTGCGTAGAACGACGCACATGCTGTTGATGACTGGATTGTCTGGTCCAGACTCGAGTATTTACAGACCGGCGTCATATAGCTGGAATATTGCTGAGTGCGGCGTAAAACTAAACTCACTCACTCACTATGTTCATTGTGCATATTTGATGTACCTTTTTTCTATTCTGTTAATTCAATAGTCACACTGTTGCTGCCAACTGAATCATCAATCTTGCAGTCCCATGTTGTGCCATTCAGTTCAATCCTAGACTGGTGGAACCTTAACAGGAAACGTCCACTGTTTTCTTGACAACTCACTTCCGTATTCCAAGCAGCCTATACTGGTTGTGACTTTGTGGCTTGTTCGATGCCGCGTTGCTCTTAATATCAATCACTCTTTGGGCTGGTCCAGGCTTGATTACAATCTTATGTAACAAGAATATTGCACAGTAATTATTACAACAAAAAACTTGTATGTAACGAATCAAGCTGTCAATTTTTGCATTTTCATTTCATATTTTCCATGTAAACATCCAACAGCGCTGCCAGAGTTGTGTGTTCAAAACCCCAGTAAGTCGTACCTTGGTGCTGGAGTTGCCATAGGTGTGAGTGTCATGCTGATCGTGGACGCCGTCTGTCTGGCTCTGGCGTTTATCTACAAGGACAAACTATTAGCCAGGATAACAGGTAACATTTATGTACTTGTTAACACGTGAGTGAGTGAGTGAGTGAGTGAGTGAGTATGGTTTTACGCAACGTTTAGTAATATTCAAGCAACATAATGGCGGGGGGACACCAGAAATGGGATTCACACATTGTGCTCATGTGTGGAATTGAATCCGTGTCTTCGGCTTGAGCGCTTTAACCGCTAGGCCCAGCCCCTACTTCAGTGAGTGAGTGAGTGAGCTTTTACGCGGCTTTCAGCAATATTCAAGCAATACCACCGCGGGGGACACCATAAATGGGATTCACACATTGTACCCATGTATGGAATCGAGTCCGTGTCTTCGGCGTGAGCGCTTTAACCACTAGGCCCAGCCCCTACTTCAGTGAGTGAGTGAGCTTTTACGCGGCTTTCAGCAATATTCCAGCAATATGACGGCGGGGGACACCAGAAATGGGATTCACACATTGTGCCCATGTGTGTGTGTGGAATCGAGTCCGTGATTTCGTCGTGACGGGCAAACGTTTTAACCACTAGGCTACGCTGCTGCCCAACCTACCACATTTAACCTGTTTTACAACTCAGCTGTAATTGTGTTGGCAGTGATAATGCAAGAGAAGGGCAATATGTCATGCCCTTTCGTTGACAGTGTCGCATTCAACTCAAGTTCACATTTACTTCATACCGATAAAAGTACAATTAAAACGCAACAGAGAATATTATTAATAATCTTATGAAGAAATATGAGAGCTCCGTTATTATTAGTATGGCCTAAAAATGTACTAATACGAGCTAGTGAGTGAATGTTAGACGCATCTCGACAGTATATTTAGTTATTTCGTCTCTCGTTAAAATAATACGGGTTTGAGGTTGTTTTTTCTCGAACACCTGGTGTCATCATATTTTGAGTGATCCATACATATAATTTTCACCTTTACACCAAATAAAATTTGTTTATGACAACAGGAAGAAACCCGGATATTAGTTTGCACTGATACTTTACATTTATATCTGAGGGCAATCTCAGAATGGAAACAGATCAATTGGGAACAGTTCTTCACAGTGAATAGCATCGTTTTAGAGAACTTGGCCACACATGACTTAAGCTGTGTCTCAGATACTTAAACCCTTGTTTTATTTGCGTTCAAACAGATATTAAGAATACACAAAGCCATTTATTAAAGAAAGGGGTCAAATGTATCATACGTATATTTGGGATTACTGGGAAAGTCTCAACTCGATAAAAGTACTAGAATCTATACTTTACGGAGAAAGTGTAATCTGCTTACAAGCAGATATTGCTGATTTAACGAAATATTACATATTAATGTTTTTGTTTTTCTTTCAGGGACAAAGGAAACAAGCGATACACAAATGAGCAGGTAAAATTCCTGATTAAATTGATTGTTTAAACAATGATAGCAGACATAAAGCATTTTACGCATGTAGTTTACACTACAAAGTGCCATGTGTTTGCGTATCCCTGAAAGTGTATCACCCCATTACCACGCGAATCTTATAATTGTATTAGCCAGACATTCTGTGTGTTCATACATTCCATGTGCTCTGTTGTGGTTGTAAAAGTCAGCTTCGGTTGTAAATGTTCTGTTGTGGTTGTAATATTCAGCTTTGGTTGTAAATGTTCTGTTGTGGTTGTATTGTCAGCTTTGATTGTAAATGTTCTGTTGTGGTTGTATTGATAGCTTTGGTTGTAAATGTTCTGTTGTGGTTGAAGTTGTCAGCTTTGGTTGTAAATGTTCTGTTGTGGTTGTAGTAGTCAGCTTTGGTTGTAAATGTTCTGTTGTGGTTGTAATAGTCAGCTTCGGTTGTAAATGTTCTGTTTTGGTTGAAGTTTTCAGCTTTGGTTGTAAATGTTCTGTTGTGGTTGTATTGTCAGCTTCGGTTGTAAATGTTCTGTTGTGGTTGTAAAAGTCAGCTTCGGTTGTAAATGTTCTGTTGTGGTTGTAAAAGTCAGCTTCGGTTGTAAATGTTCTGTTGTGGTTGTAATATTCAGCTTTGGTTGTAAATGTTCTGTTGTGGTTGTAGAAGTCAGCTTCGGTTGTAAATGTTCTGTTGTGGTTGTTATATTCAGCTTCGGTTGTAAATGTTCTGTTGTGGTTGCAATATTCAGCTTCGGTTGTAAATGTTCTGTTGTGGTTGAAGTAGTCAGCTTCGGTTGTAAATGTTCTGTGGTGGTTGTAATATTCAGCTTTGGTTGTAAATGTTCTGTTGTGGTTGTAATAGTCAGCTTCGGTTGTAAATGTTCTGTTGTGGTTGTAGTAGGCAGCTTCGGTTGTAAATGTTCTGTTGTGGTTGCAATATTCAGCTTCGGTTGTAAATGTTCTGTTGTGGTTGTAGTAGTCAGCTTCGGTTGTAAATGTTCTGTTGTGGTTGTAGTAGTCAGCTTTGGTTGTAAATGTTCTGTTGTGGTTGAAGTTTCAGCTTTGGTTGTAAATGTTCTGTTGTGGTTGTAGTAGTCAGCTTCGGTTGTAAATGTTCTGTTGTGGTTGAAGTTTTCAGCTTCGGTTCTAAATGTTCTGTTGTGGTGGTCAGCTTCGGTTGTAAATGTTCTGTTGTGGTTGCATTGTCAGCTTCGGTTGTAAATGTTCTGTTGTGGTTGTAAGTCAGCTTTGGTTGTAAATGTTCTGTTGTGGTTGTTGCAATATTCAGCTTCTTGTGGTTGGTTGTAAATGTTCTGTTGTGGTTGTAGTTTGCAATATTCAGCTTCGGTTGTAAATGTTCTGTTGTGGTTTGTAGTTCAGCTTTGGTTGTAAATGTTCTGTTTTGGTTGTAGTAGTCAGCTTTGGTTGTAAATGTTCTGTTGTGGTTGTAATAGTCAGCTTCGGTTGTAAATGTTCTGTTTTGGTTGAAGTTTTCAGCTTTGGTTGTAAATGTTCTGTTGTGGTTGTAATTGTCAGCTTTGGTTGTAAATGTTCTGTTTTGGTTGAAGTTTTCAGCTTTGGTTGTAAATGTTCTGTTGTGGTTGTAAAAGTCAGCTTTGGTTGTAAATGTTCTGTTGTGGTTGTAATATTCAGCTTTGGTTGTAAATGTTCTGTTGTGGTTGTAGAAGTCAGCTTCGGTTGTAAATGTTCTGTGGTGGTTGTTATATTCAGCTTCGGTTGTAAATGTTCTGTTGTGGTTGTCAATATTCAGCTTCGGTTGTAAATGTTCTGTTGTGGTTGTAATTGTCAGTTGTAAGCTTCTGGTGGTTTGTAAATGTTCTGTGGTGGTTGTAATATTCAGCTTTGGTTGTAAATGTTCTGTGGTGGTTGTAATAGTCAGCCTCGGTTGTAAATGTTCTGTTGTGGTTGTAGTAGGCAGCTTCGGTTGTAAATGTTCTGTTGTGGTTGCAATATTCAGCTTCGGTTGTAAATGTTCTGTTGTGGTTGTAGTAGTCAGCTTCGGTTGTAAATGTTCTGTTGTGGTTGTAGTAGTCAGCTTCGGTTGTAAATGTTCTGTTGTGGTTGAAGTTTTCAGCTTTGGTTGTAAATGTTCTGTTGTGGTTGTAGTAGTCAGCTTCGGTTGTAAATGTTCTGTTGTGGTTGAAGTTTTCAGCTTCGGTTGTAAATGTTCTGTTGTGGTTGTATTGTCAGCTTCGGTTGTAAATGTTCTGTTGTGGTTGCATTGTCAGCTTCGGTTGTAAATGTTCTGTTGTGGTTGCAATATTCAGCTTCGGTTGTAAATGTTCTGTTTTGGTTGTAGTAGGCAGCTTTGGTTGTAAATGTTCTGTTGTGGTTGCAATATTCAGCTTCGGTTGTAAATGTTCTGTTGTTTGTAGTAGGCAGCTTCGGTTGTAAATGTTCTGTTGTGGTTGCAATATTCAGCTTCGGTTGTAAATGTTCTGTTTTGGTTGTAGTAGGCAGCTTTGGTTGTAAATATTCTGTTGTGGTTGCAATATTCAGCTTCGGTTGTAAATGTTCTGTTTTGGTTGTAGTAGGCAGCTTTGGTTGTAAATGTTCTGTTGTGGTTGCAATATTCAGCTTCGGTTGTAAATGTTCTGTGGTGGTTGTAGTAGTCAACTTTGGTTGTAAATGTTCTGTTGTTGTTGAAGTTGTCAACTTTGGCTGTAAATGTTCTTGTTTGGTTACAGTTGCCAGCTTTGGTTGTAAATGTTCATTTTTGGTTGAAGTAGTCAGCTTCGGTTGTAAATGTTCTGTTTTGCTGGTAGTAGTCAGCTTTGGTTGTAAATGTTCTGTTGTGGTTGTAGTAGTCAGCTTCGGTTCTAAATTTTCTGTTGTTGTTGTAGTAGTCAGCTTCGGTTGTAAATGTTCTGTTGTTTTTGTAGTAGTCAACTTCGGTTGTAAACGGTTGCTGAGGTTCCTGGTATTAGTTTGGGGGTTTTCATAACTGATATTCTTACTATTACATTAAAGATCTGTATATTAAAGTTGTAATATCAAATACATGTGACATTTTAATACGTTACAGTTATAGTTATATCACAAGAGATCGATTCATATAGTCCTGTCACCTGTTGTGTATGTATATCATCAACATTTGTGCATTCAGTTTGTGTTCATTACCATAACTAATTATGGATTTTATTCACCAAAATGTTCCATGACGCAGGATTGCTCCATTACTCCATCCAAATTACTGTCACTTCCCATATTTTGTATGTAATCACATTCTTCTTGCTTAAACGTTTGGCGCCAATAAAAACATCTAGTGACTCCTTTCTTAACAATCCGTTATAAAACATCGGTTCAAAATAGACGGTTTGTGGCAGGACATCAAATACTCTGACCACAACAACCCACTCCCCCAACCCAAATCCCGAATAGTTGTACTCCAGCACGCTATTCATGTATCTAAATGTTATAACATGTTATATCATTCTCTTTAGAATACCTATATCATCCCCTGTGGCCACTACAACCAGAAACCAGGTACAACCACAAGGTGAGCGTGTATTATTGTAATTCTTTACAAACATAAACTTGTGCCCGTAAAAAAATATCACAGAGGATGAGAATGTAATATTCTCTTTCTGGTCTACTGAGGATATAGAATTATTTGTAACAGAACATTTTTGTACAATTTGCATAAACATGATCAGGCATTGATAACAACCAAGCAAAATCATATTACTTTTTTTTCATGCCATGGACGTCTGACAAATACATGGGTGTTACCAAAATGGGTCATTTACGACCTTCAAGAGTATGTCCTTGAGGCAAATTAGTTAATCGAGAGAAAAAATCAGATTGGGTGAAATGCTTCCTTATGTTCTGATAATAATAAATACTTTCTGAAAACATCTGAGAGACATTTTTGCACATTTTATCCTTACCTGCACATTTAGTGCTGTTATCTGCATAAAAGTGCACTTATTCAAACAGACAAATAAAACATGCACAGTTAGGCATATATATCTACTAATGGACAGTTCTCACATCATTTTCTGGTGTGCAGTTACTGATAAATATTAATGGTATTCTTCAATACGTCTCTTTCAGAAGCGCAAACACCAGCATCCAGCACTGAGTATGAAGCGCTACAGAGAGAAAATGTTGATGCCCATAACACATATGAGAAGATGCACATATACCAGAACTTGTGAGCATTTGGAAGATATACTCTGGGACCTCGATATCAGCGTGATGTCATCTGTCCCCAATTTGTACGGAACACAGCCTGTTGGTTTATATATTAAATATCATGTTGAGATGTATTTGATTTCACGAGCGAACCATATTCTGGAAGTGTACATTTTACAGAGAACATGCGGCACCATCACGTTTACAGACCGTAAATTGTCAACACAAAATTCTCGTTAGTGTTGGTTGTGTTGGAAGATAAACAAACCCAGTAAATGAATAGTCCACTAACTATTGTGAAATTAGAAGAAATGCCTTCTTATACATCCACAGATATGATCTAGAAAGTATGTGTGTATGTCTTATATGGTACGTTTCTACGCAAACATGGTGAAATGTATATATCAAAGTCTGTTCATCATTTCTAAAAGCAATCGATTTGAAATTGTTTCATAAGATTAATGACTGCAAAATCTAGAAATCTTGACAATGTATGTCTGTATGTTTACTTGGTTTCGTTACAGCACTTATCATCACATTGTTTATTGCATCTTTGCTTCCCTATTTATGAATACATGTACAAAATGAGTTGTCAACTACTTTCGTTCTTTGTAACCATTTTTAATTGTTATCCTTCAAGGGCGGTATTTATACAAGCAAAAATGTTTGTTTACCAAGCCAGGTTTCCGAAATAAATGTGTTCAAACTAATATAATGACCAGCTGGAAAATTTAAGTTGTGAAACAATTACCATACAGGGAAGTGAAATGAGCATGTGACACAAGTAACGGGATCCCATCTTTGATATTTACAATCGGTTTCCTCCACAGCGTTGCTGGAAAGTGACATGAACTTTGTCGCCAGTGTTATGACTAACAAATGACTGACTACAAACAAGTCTCGTTTCCTTAAGTCATGTCTGAATGCACGTGGAGCGCATTTAAACAAATAGGAGTGGTATTCTGTAGTTGTGAGTTCCGAACTATAGTCTCGTCTGAGTGTAAATTGTATATTTATTCATGATAGTTTTATATGTTGATCCGCGCTCATTTCCGTGAGTTCCGAACTATAGTCTCGTCTGAGTGTAAATTGTATATTTATTCGTGATAGTTTTATATGTTGATCCGCGCTCATTTCCGTGAGTTCCGAACTATAGTCTCGTCTGAGTGTAAATTGTATATTTATTCATGATAGTTTTATATGTTGATCCGCGCTCATTACATGCAGTAACAGATGGCAAAAGTTATATGAATGTAGTGCTGAAGATCCTTGACGACGAAAGTGACGACCTCGTTAGGATCAGAAAGCCACAATAACTCGGTGCGCCTAGTGGCTGCATGGGTTGCATACTCCCCAGGGAGTTGAGATTGATAATGCGATGTGCTGTTGAGATTGACATCCAATGATCGAGGGAAAAAATACTAGCGCCTTGAGCATGCACCAATGCGTGGATATGTGCGCTATGTTAATATCCTAAAATAATAATAACAAAACGTATAAACCTCTCCTGCCTCAGCGGTAGCACCCTCCATTCGCACATGTGTTGGTGTTTTGCTTGATAAAGTGATAAAATACGTCACCTTCGGATACCAAGCACGATGAACACGCACTCTCAACAGGATGAAATATGGCCGGACGATGAGCCATATCTGATGCTCATACCGCATACCACTCATGAGCAGGATGTGAGGCGTTATATCACGACACTTCTATATAAACTTTGCTTTACTACCATACAGTTACAATACTTTGATACCCGTTAAGGTCAGGGTCAAAAATTGTGGTCAGCAAGCCATTATTCTGATTTGAGGCAACATACGGGATCGGGTGGTCAGGCTCACTGATTTGACTGATGTAACCCATAGGGGTGCAACTATTCGGTTCGATTCATCGAAAATCGAATCTGACACCTTAGTTTCGATTTTCGATAACCATTATCACTATTTCGATTCGATGTTTGAGTGATGTTCTGTGTTTAAATTTCACATCATATTTAATTGAAAAAGGTTACATCATTTACATTCCTAATTTCCTTGTCAAATCATGGAAAAAGTGTTTTCAGTGTGATATATTTTGCTTAATAAACTCAGCGAGTTAAATGAAATCTGAAGCATTTTACTTGTACGAAGAATCGATTCGAAAATAATCGAATTGAGGATCCAATATCGAAAATCGAGTCGAATCGAGTTCTGGGTGAATCGTTGCAGCCCTAGTTTGACATGGTATCCCAGTCTTAGGTTCATGACAGTGGCCTGTACATAACTGAGCATGGACCAGACAATCCATATAAAGGTCATACAACACTTTACAACCTGAGTGCCGGGTTTTAAATAGTCTTCAGCAGCACGTGCTTGTTGCAAGAGGATCAGACTCGATGGTTAGGTTGGAGCTTGTCATGTCCTAGTTACAGGTGCAAGACAGTGGTCTAAATCATCGAGCCTGGGCCAGACAATCCAGTGTTTGACATCAGGAGATACAATTACAGAGCATGTGAATATGACTGTCAAATGGTAATGAAGTCAGGTGTTTCCGAAAAGCTGAGCATATCCTGTCCCACACTTAGCACCTTTCAGAAACATATGCAAAGGCGAGTCAATTGTTCACCTGAAAGTATGCTACAAGTGAAAATAGGGAATTACATTGGACATCATTTTTGTCAAGTCAAAGTCAAAAGAGTTTATTGTATTTAAGGCGTCCGGCCCACATACAATATACATTTGTAAATAATTAGACTAACAACTAGTCTCTGAAATGAACATATTTTACTGAAAAAAAGTTCATAGTAAAAAAATGTATAATATAATGAAAAGGAGCCCTGAGACTTTCTTCATTTTCAGGACCGCCTCCGTGGTGTAGTGGTTAGAGCGTCTGCCCGGGAGAGGGGAATGTCGTGGGTTCGATTCCCGACCGCGTCATACCAAAAGACGTTAAATATGGTACTTGTTGGTCCCTGCCTGGCGCTCGGCATTAATGGGTACAACAAGGACTGGTCGGCTCGGAGTCAGTATAATGTGTCTGAGTGGGGTATTCATGCTTCACTGCGGCATGGTATCTCAGTGGGATAGCACTATAAAACCAGCTTCAGTCTGGGCTAGTACAAGCAGCCGCACATACACATACACACGCATGCACGTCGTCATATGAGCGAAATATTCTCAAGTACGACGTAAAACCCTATTTCAGCTCACCTCACCTCTTCATTTTCAGAAGCTGAGGAAATCTAGACTTGCCACATTTTCTAGACTTGCGTGGGCTTTCTTGGATATATTTACTTCAGGGTCTGTACGACAGACTAGTAAATAATATACAGTATACAATACATATAATGGAGAGAACAAAGTGGCAGGCTATTGTAAAAGTTCGTTCTTGCGTTGTAAATTGTTTGACAGTACATATCTTAGTCTCATACTATACCACAAAAGAAACGTCAGTTAGGAATTTTCCTTCGCAAAAACGGATAACTGTAAACTCATTTAATGTTTTGAGCAAAGACATTCCTTCCCAAACTCAGAATGGAACCCAGGAAAAGGTCTCAACAACGCAACCTGATCTCGGAGATGGTACGGTGGTCTCCATGCTTTTCATGCAACTCATGCTGCACGTGCTGTTTACAAGGACCGACCCTATAAAATGCACCCCCAAACCAGGTTGAAACATTCACATTACAACATCAGCAGGTTGCCGCGACTCACGACAGCTCAGAGGAACCAGGCGCTAGGAAGACTTGAAGCTGGCCACACAATCATTTCCAGGTCAACGTTCGGACCATCTACAGGCTGCAGCAACGTTTTTTCCAGGCCACCAACACCACAAATGATCGCCCCCGTACTGGCAGACCAAGGGTGACAAAACGACGACAAGACCACTATGTTGTGCGACAGCATGTACAGAATCCCTTCATGCAGGCAATCGAAACAGCACGCCAGACAGTGGGAACACACGGAAGACCATCAGTACTGATACAGTACGCCGACGTCTTAACAGCGGGGACCTCCATTGCCGTAGACCACACCGGGGACATATCCTCACCCCTCGTCATCGGCGTGAACGTCTACAGTTTGCCCTACAACACCAAAACTGGCGATACAGGCAATGGAGGACTGGTTTGTTGACAGATGAGAGTCGGTACTGCGTATCAACTGCAGATGGCAGAACAAGAATATGGCGACGACGTGGCCAGCGTTAATCAGACCAATGTGTTATGGAAAGAGACTCATGGGAAGGTGCAATCATCGTGGTATGGGGTGGAATAGGTCTGAACCAGAGAGTGGGTCCTGTGGTGTTCCAGAACCTTGGTCCAGGGAGAGGAGGCGGCATCACAGCGGTGCGCTACATCGACCAAGCTCTCAGACCCCACGTCATACCACATTTCGCACGTCACTGGAACAATATTTTCCAGCATGATAACGCCCGGGCCCATACTGCCAGAGCTACACGGGACTTCCTACAGCAGAACGGAGTCAACATTATCCAGAGGCCAGCCCTTAGTCCTGATTTAAACCCAATTGAACATCTTTGGGATGAAATTCAGAGGAGACTGAATAATGTCATACCAAGGCCGAATACAGCCGATTTATTGCGCCAGGTCTTTCTCAGAGTGTGGTACCAGGTGCCAATGGCCTTCATCAATCGATTGGTGCACTCCATGCATAGACGCTGTGCTGCAGTTATTGCCGCTCGTGGGGCGGTGGGGTAGCCTAGTGGTTACAGCGTTCGCTCGTCTCGCCGAAGACCCGGGTTCGATTCCCCACATGGGTACAATGTGTTAAGCCCATTTCTGGTGTCCCCCGCGTCGTGATATTGCTGGAATATTGCTAAAAGCGGCGTAAAACTAAACTCAGTCAGTCAGTCAGTTATTGGCGCTCGTGGTGGTCACACTAGATACTGAAGTCAAGAGTCTGAGGGGACTGCAAACGTTCACGTAATGTCTTGAAATTGTGCTGAGTTATTCATTAATGTGTCAAGATATTTCCCAAAAAAAATGTTTTTGATCCGCTTAATATGTCCATTTCTGTAATGATTTGATTACAGTGCCTATCTCATTTTGAATTCGTACTGACGTGTTTTTGATGCTGACTATATATATAATCAAATACACACAGCGATATATATACAGCGGTCCTTATATATTAGTATGTACAGTACAACTATAAATTATTGAGAATTTAAAGATTGTAATTTTATTGTTTTCACTCATTACTCACGTATTAAATGTGAATATTAGCAGAACATAACTCCAGATTCAAAGACATGTGAACAGTTAGTATTTTGTCAATTCACCATGGGCAGCAACGCAGGCTTCAATGCGGCGGGGCATACTACTGATCAAAGAAGTTAGAAAGTCGTGTTCCATGCTGTCCCAATATCGGACCACCTCTTCTTTCATTTCAGCAATATTTGTCAGATTTTTCTTATTGACACTTTCCTTCATAAGTCTCCAAACAGTTTCTATTGGATTTAGGTCAGGGCTATAGCTTGGCCATTCTAATAATGTCATATTTTGGGTCCGAAACCAGGGCTGTGAATGCTTTGAAAGATGTTTTGGGTCGGTGTCCTGCTGGAAAATCAAAAAATGTCCATAGAACACATGAGCAGATGGAAGTAAATGTCCCTCGAGAATATCTGTGTACCGCTCACTGTTCATATTCCCTTCAAATACACAGAGGGACTTGCCCCTAACACAGATATGCCACCCCACACGTTAAATTTCGGACTGTATTTTGGGCGCTGATACAAAAGTTTTTCAGTTTGTTTGGTCCAGAATTTCAGTGTACTAGGAAACAGCAACACAGAATGTTCATTTAAGAAATTCACATTGTCCCAGTTAAAATTTCTATGCTGTTAGCACCAGTTCAACCTTCGCTCCTTTTGTTCAGGTTTCATGATCGGTGATGGAATTCCTCGACTTTTCTGCCAACCCATTGCATGCAGCTCAGTTCTAACTGTCTCCTTAAAGACAGCCACATTTCCTCTACCAGTCATATCCAGCCTTAAGTTTTCTAAACCGCTTCCTTTGTTTTTAGAAACAAGAATACCAAGCCGCCTCCTGTCACCGACAGTCAATTTTCTGGGCCTACCTGCGCCTCTCTGGTGCTCAATGCCATATCCATTTGCAATTTTTTTCAAAACACTATAAACAGTGGACAAAGGGATGCATGTTCTACTTGAAATCACTTTAGCTGATCTGATGTCTTTGTTATAATACTCTAAAATCAACTTCCTCTTCTCTAAATCATCCATACTAAGGATCACTGAAAATGTCGTCTGCTAGCAAGTAAACAAAGGGGGATAACTCTTCACAAACTAATGAAAAAGGATTAACGGAGTTGTCTCTCTTGAATGAAACCAAGCACTTGATAGCTGGTTAAGGTTGTTTATACTAGAAATCCAATTAAACATATTTCTAAAATTCTCAATAAATTCTGGTCATACTAAATATATACCGCAGTGTGATACAGAGTAGAGGCTGTAAGAAGCTATCTTAATTGTGAGACAACACGGAAGTGTTGAATCATAGCAGGATGCAAATTAATGCTGGACAAAGCTCATTGTACAGTGTCTGCTTTCATCACATCGACTGTGCAATGGAGTTGAGGATTCTATTATTTGCAACAATGATTTCATTCGCCACTGGCCAGGGTAAGTAGACCACACCACGGAGCTAAAAAAACAACTCTTTATCGACATCGTACCTTCTTTATGAAGTAAATAATACAACAGGCTGTATTAAAGATGTAATAGTATAATGGGAAGTTATGTAGACATGATGCAGTTGTAAGTTGATGGTGCTCTCTCCGTAACCAAGATTCAAGTATGTTTTCAGGAATAATAATAATGACCTAAATCCCTGAGTTGATGGGAATGAGACCAGGAGTTCGTTGAAGGCACAGAGAAAACAATTTGAACACGACTGGCAAGTTTATTTTGGATGGGATCGTATTTAGTATGGTTCTTGAATTTGTCTTACATTGATGTTGTGTATTTATATTTACTGTCCACAGTATGTTCAAATAACAGACGGGGCGGTGGGGTAGCCTACTGGTTAAAGCGTTCGCTCGTCACGCTGAAGACCAGGGTTCGATTTCCCACGTGGGCACAATGTGTGAAGGCCATTTCTGGTGTCCCCCGTCGTGACATTGCTGGAATATTGCTAAAGGTGGCGTAAAACTAAACTCACTCACTAACTCAAATAACAGACCAGGCGACTAACGGGATCGGGTAGTCAGGCTCGCTGACTTGGTTGACACATGTCAGCGTATCCCAGTTGCGTAGATCGACACGTATGATGCCAATCACTGGATTGTCTGGCCCATACCCGATTATTTAGATGTAGCCGTCATGCAGATGGAACTGGTTGAGTGCGGCGTAAAACAACAAACAGACAAGCAAATAAATAATCAGCCAAATACCAGAAAGTCACTCACGTGTTCGAAACATAGTGTATATGTCTTCACTGTTTTCTTTTTAACGTGAGTGTGTTTACGTCGATGTTTTTCAGTGACAATGGCGATTTCAAAAAGGAAAACAACTTTAGGATCTCTAGTAGAGCTTGTGTGTCAGCAGCCTGAACTAGGGTGGCAAAGTGATTGGAATCGTGACGGCCAACTAGTCCTCACTGTGACGAAGACAAGGAAAGACCCCTGTGGCATGGAATGGCATATAGATACTCCGGCGAATGTGGAAGTGATTTGTCAAGAAAACAGAGGACGTTTCCTGCTAAGGTTCCACCAGTCTAGGATTGAACTAAATGGCACAATATGGGATTGCAAGATTGATGATTCAGTTGGCAGCAACAGAGTCAGTATTGAATTAACAGAAGAGAAAAAAGGTAAATCAAATATGCACAATGAATAGAGTGAGTGAGTGAGTTTAGTTTTATGCCGCACTCAGCAATATTCCAGCTATGTGGCGACGGTCTGTAAATAATCGAGTTTGGGACAGACAATTCAGTGATCAACAATATGAGCATAGATCTACGCAATTGGGATACGATGACACGTGTCAGCCAAGTCAGCGAGCCTGACCACCCGATCTCGTAAGTCGCCCCTTACGACAAGCACGGGTTACTGAAGATCAATAGTCTAACCCGGATCTTCACAGGTCCATGAGGGATCAGATTCGAAGGTATGTTTCCAGCTATCTTTCTGACACAAATCTACACATAACACTTTGAACCCATTCGTCATTTTGATCAAAATGAAGAGTTTTCACCTGACAATAGTTAGGCAGAAATATTTGTTGCAAATATTAAAATTTATAGAGGTGACCTTTAGTCAAAATGACTGTCAAAATGCAGGTAATATAAGAGATCTACAGAGTGTCAGCTATAGCCTTTATATTCTATAGTGCGCGTGTGCACGTATGTGTGTGTGTGTGTGTGTGTGTGAGAGAGAGAGAGAGAGAGCAGGGGGGGGGATCCGTTCGTTAAATGAAACAGTATATCACATTTAATAATTACACGTGTCTCTTCTGTTCCAGGCAGCGCAACCACAGAAGGCCTAACAACATATGAAGGTAGGTTGAGAAACAAAATGATGTCAATGCATCACAGAACCCTTCAAGATAAGGGTTAGGAATGATCTTAGTTTAAAGTAACCCATAATTGTTGAGGTGGCGACTGACGGGGCTTCTTCGATTTATGTCATCGTGTTCAAAATGCGTTCATCAGCGTCAGGCACCTGATTGCCTGGTCCAGGCACGATATGTTAATGACTGCCATCGTAGATCTGTAACCTTGCAGCCTGTGTCGTTAAACTACAAACAAAGCACACCACTTGCTTATAGACAATGGTATGCTGATATGATGTATGTGTGTCGGTAACATTATTCATAAGTGAATGCAATATGAGATCTACCTAATTGAGAAAATGAGAAGAAAATGAGCTTTTTTTAAGATTTAAGAGGCATTCCTTGAGGTTGTTATTTGATGTAATTGACGTTACTGACATCACTTTTGCTTGTATCGACATTCCAAGTTATAAATTTATTCCTTTTAATTTATTTTTTTGAGAACAAACGACAACAGAGGCAATCATTCCTGAAATAACCGAAGGTGAGTTGTATGTCCTTTTAGACTCAGAACTAAAGTTCAATTATATGGTGTGCATATCATGTATATGATTCAGGTTAGAATGCCTACCAAGCAGCCGACCCGTGAAGATCCGGGTTGAAATATCTCCTTAGCAACCCATGCTTGCCATAAGAGTCGGGGTCGGGTGGTCAGGCTCGTTGACTTGGCTGACAAATGTCATGGTATCCCGATTGCGTAGAACGATGCACATGCTGTTGATGACTGGATTGTCTGGTCCAGACTCGAGTATTTACAGACTGCCGTCATATAGCTGGAATATTGCTGAGTGCGGCGTAAAACTAAACTCACTCACTCACTATGTTCATTGTGCATATTTGATGTACTTTTTTCTATTCTGTTAATTCAATAGCCACACTGTTGCTGCCAACTGAATCATCAATCTTGCAGTCCAATGTTGTGCCATTCAGTGGAACCTTAACAGGAAAGGTCCACTGTTTTCTCGACAAATCACTTCCGTATTCCAAGCAGCCTATACTGGTTGTGACTTGGTGGCTTGTTTGATGCCGCGTTGCTCTTAATATCAATCACTCTTTGGGCTGGTCCAGGCTTGATTACAATCTTATGTAACAAGAATATTGCACAGTAATTATTACAACAAAAAACTTGTATGTAACGAATCAAGCTGTCAATTTTTGCATTATCATTTCATATTTTCATATTTTCCATGTAAACATCCATCAGCCCTGCCAGAGTTGTGTGTTCAAAACCCTAGTAAGTCGTACCTTGGTGTTGGAGTTGCCATAGGTGTGAGTGTCATGCTGATCGTGGACGCCGTCTGTCTGGCTCTGGCGTTTATCTACAAGGACAAACTATTAGCCAGGATAACAGGTAACATTTATGTACTTGTTAACACGTGAGTGAGTGAGTGAGTGAGTATGGTTTTACGCAACGTTTAGTAATATTCAAGCAACATAACGGCGGGGGACACCAGAAATGGGATTCACACATTGTGCTCATGTGTGGAATTGAATCCGTGTCTTCGGCTTGAGCGCTTTAACCGCAAGGCCCAGCCCCTACTTCAGTGAGTGAGTGAGTGAGTGAGCTTTTACGCGGCTTTCAGCAATATTCCAGCAATATTCCAGCAATATCACAGCTGCTGCCCTACCTACCACATTTAACCTGTTTTACAACTCAGCTGTAATTGTGTTGGCAGTGATAATACAGTTTGGGGCAATGTGTCATGCCCTTTTGTTGACAGTGTCGCATTCAACTCAAGTTCACATTTACTTCATACCGATAAAAGTACAATTAACACGTAACAGAGAATATTATTAATAATCTGATGAAGAAATATGAGAGCTCCGTTATTATTAGTATGGCCTAAAAATATACTTATACGAGCTAGTGAGTGAATGTTACGACCCATCTGAACAGGATATTTAGTTATTTCGTCTCCCGTTAAAATCATACGGGTTTGATGTTGTTTTTTCTCGAACACCTGGTGTCATCATATTTTGAGTGATCCATACATATAATTTTCACCTTTACTCCAAATAGAATTTGTTTACGACGACAGGAAGAAACCCGGATATTAGTTTGCACTGATACTTTACAATTATATCTGAGGGCAATCTCGGCATGGAACCAGATCATTTGGGAACAGTTCTTCACAGTGAATTGCATCGTTTTAGAGAACTTGGCCACACATTTGTCTCAGATACTTAAACCCTTGTTTTTTTTGCGTTCAGACAGATATTAAGATTACACAACGCCATTTATTATAGAAAGTGGTCAAATGTATCATATGTATATTTGGGATTACTGGGAAAGTCTCTACTCGATAAAGTACTAGAATCTATACTTTACGGAGAAAGTGCAATCTGCTTACAAGCAGATATTGCTGATTTAACGAAATATTACATATTAATGTTTTTGTTTTTCTTTCAGGGACAAAGGAAACCAGTGATACACAAATGAGCAGGTAAAATTCCTGATTAAATTGATTATTCAAACAATGATTGCAGACATAAAGCTTTTTATGCATTTGGTTTACACTACAAAGTGCCATGTTTTTGCGTATCCCTGAAAGTGTATATGAAGTGATCACTTCATTACCACGCGAACCTTATAATTGTATTAACCAGACATTCTGTGTGTTCATACATTCCATGTGCTCTGTTGTGGTTGTAATATTCAGCTTCGGTTGTAACTGTTCTGTTGTGGTTGTAGTAGTCAGCTTCGGTTGTAAATGTTCTGTTGTGGTTGAAGTAGTCTGCTTTGGTTGTAAATGTTCTGTTGTGGTTGTAATATTCATCTTCGGTTGTAAATGTTCTGTTGTGGTTGTAGTAGTCAGCTTTGGTTTGTAAATGTTCTGTGGTGGTTGAAGTAGTCTGCTTTGGTTGTAAATGTTCTGTTGTGGTTTTAATATTCATCTTCGGTTGTAAATGTTCTGTTGTGGTTGTAGTAGTCAGCTTTGGTTTGTAAATGTTCTGTTGTTTTTGTAGTAGTCAGCTTCGGGTGTAAATGTTCTTTTTTGGTTGCAGTAGTCAGCTTCGGTTGTAAACGGTTGCTGAGGTTCCTGGTATTAGTTGGGGTTTTTTCATAACTGATATTCTTACTATTACATTTAAGATATGTATATTAAAGTTGTAATAACAAATACATGTGACATTTTAATACGTTACAGTTATAGTTATATCACAAGAGATCGATTCATATATTCCTATCACCTGTTGTGTATGTATATCATCAACATTTGTGCATTCATTTTGTGTTCATATCAAAACTAATTATGGTTTTAATTCACCAAAAAGTTCCATGACGCAGGATTGCTCCATTACTCCATCCAAATTACTGTCACATCCCATATTTTGTATGTAATCACATTCTTCTTGCTCAAACATTTGGCGCCAAAAAAAACACATTCTAGTGACTCCTTTCTTAATAGTCCGTCATAAAACATGTGTTCAAAATAGACGGTTTGTGGCAGGACATCAAATACTCTGACCACAACAACCCGCTCCCCCAACCCAAATCCCGAATAGTTGTACTCCAGCACGCTATTCATGTATCTAAATTTTATAACATGTTATATCATTCTCTTTAGAATACCTATATCATCCCCTGTGGCCACTACAACCAGGAACCAGGTACAACCACAAGGTGAGCGTGTATTATTGTAATTCTTTACAAACATAAACTTGTGCCCGCAAAAAAATATCACAGAGGATGAGAATGTAATATTCCCTTTCTGGTCTACTGAGGATATAGAATTATTTGTAACAGAACATTTTGTACAATTTGCATAAACATGATCAGGCATTGATTGCAAACAAGCAAACTCATATTACTTGTTTTTTCATGCCGTGGACGTCTGACAAATACATGGATGTTACCAAAATGGGTCATTTACGACCTTCAAGAGTATGTCCTTGAGGCAAATTAGTTAATCGAGAGAGAAAATCAGATTGGTTGAAATGCTTCCTTATGTTCTGATAATAATAAATACTTTCTGAAAACATCTGAGAGACATTTTGGCACAGTTTATCCTTACCTGCACATTTAGTGCTGTTATCAGCATAAACGTGCACTTATTCAAACAGACAAATAAAACATGCACAGTTAGGCATATATATCTACTAATGGACAGTTCTCACATCATTTTCTGGTGTGCAGTTACTGAAAATTATTAATGGTATTCTTCAATACGTCTCTTTCAGAAGCGCAAACACCAGCATCAAGCAATGAGTATGAAGCGTTACAGAGAGAAAATGTTGATGCCCATAACACATATGAGAAGATGCACGTATACCAGAACTTGTGAGCATTAAAGAAGATATACTCTAGGACCTCGATATCAGCGTGATGTCATCTGTCCCCAATTTGTACGGAACACAGCCTGTTGGTTTTTATATTAAATGTCATGTTGAGATGTATTTGATTTCACGAGGGAACCATATTCTGGAAGTGTACATTTTACAGAGAACATGCGGCACCATCACGTTTACAGACCGTAAATTGTCAACACAAAATTCTCGTTAGTGTTGGTTGTGTTGGAAGTTAAACAAACCCAGTAAATGAATAGTCCACTAAATATAGTGAAATTAGAAGAAATGCCTTCTTATATATCCACAGATATGATCTAGAAAGTATGTGTGTATGTCTTATATGGTACGTTTCTACGCAAACATGGTGAAATGTATATATCAAAGTCTTTTCATCATTTCTAAAAGCAATCGATTTGAAATTGTTTCATAAGAATAATGACTGCAAAATCTAGAAATCTTGACAATGTATGTCTGTATGTTTACTTGGTTTCATTACAGCACTTATTATCAAATTGTTTATTGCATCTTTGCTTCCCTTATTTATGAATACATGTACAAAATGAGTTGTCAACTACTTTCGTTCTTTGTAACCATTTTTAATTGTTATCCTTCAAGGGCGGTATTTAAACAAGCAAAAATGTTTGTTTACCAACCCAGGTTTCCGAAATAAATGTGTTCAAACTGATATAATGACGAGCCGGAAAATTTAAGTGGTGAAACAATTACCATACAAGGAAGTGAAATGAGCATGTGACACAAGTAACGGGATCCCATCATTGATATTTACAATGGGTTTCCTCCGTGGCGTGAGATGCGGTTACGAACGACAGTTCAACTCGTTGCTGGAATGTGACATGAACTTTGTCTTTAGTGTTATGACTAACTGAGTTTGGTTTTACGCCACTTTTTGCAATATTCCAGCAACATCACGGCGGGGGACACCAGGAATGGGCCTCACACATTGTACCCATGTGGGGATTCGAACCCGGGTCTTCGGCGTGACGAGCCAACGCTTTAACCACTAGGCTACCCCACCGCCCCTCTTTAGTGTTATGACTAACAAATGACTGACTACAAACAAGTCTCGTTTCCTTAAGTCATGTCTGAATGCACGTGCAGCGCATTTAAACGAATAGGAATGGTATTCTGTAGTTGTGAGTTCTGAACTGTAGTCTCGTCTGAGTGTAAATTGTATATTTATTCATGATAGTTTTATATGTTGATCCGCGCTCATTTCCGTGAGTTCCAAACTATAGTCTCGTCTGAGTGTAAATTGTATATTTATTCATGATAGTTTTATATGTTGATCCGCGCTCATTTCCGTGAGTTCCGAACTATAGTCTCGTCTGAGTGTAAATTGTATATTTATTCATGATAGTTCTATATGTTGATCCGCGCTCATTACATGCAGTAACAGATGGCAAAAGTTATATGAATGTAGTGCTGAAGATCCGTGACGACGAAAGTGACGACCTCGTTAGGATGAGAAAGCCACAATAACTCGGTGCGCCTAGTGGCTGCATGGGTTGTATACTCCCCAGGGAGTTGAGATTGATAATGTGATTTGCCGTTGAGATTGACATCCAATGATCGAGGGAAAAAATACCAGCGCCTTGAGCATGCACTAGTGCGTGGATATGTGCGCTATGTAAATATCCTATAATAATAATAATAAAAGGTATAAACCTCTCCTGCCTCAGCGGTAGCACCCACCATTCGCACATGTGTTGGTGTTTTGCTTGATAAAGTGATAAATACGTCACCATCAGATACCAAGCACGATGAACAAGCACTCTCAACAGGATGAAATATGACCGGACGATGAGCCATATCTGATGCTCACAGACGCATACCGCTCATGAGCAGGATGTGAGGCGTTATATCACGAAACTGCTTAATAAACTTTGCTTTACTACCATACAGCTACAATACTTTGAGACCCGTTAAGGTCAGGGTCAAAAATTGTGGTCAGCAAGCCATTATTCTGATTTGAGGCAACATACGGGATCGGGTGGTCAGGGTCGCTGATTTGACTGATGTAACTCATAGGGGTGCAACGATTCGGTTCGATTCAAAAATCGAATCTGACACCTTAGTTTCGATTTTCGAAAACCATTATCACTATTTCGATTAGATGTTTGAGTGATGTTCTGTGTTTAAGTTTCATATCATATGTATTTGAAAAAGGTTACATCATTTACATTCCTAATTTCCTTGTCAAATCTTGGAAAAGTGTGTTTTCAGTGTGATATGTTTTGCTTAATAAACTCAGCGAGTTAAATGAAATCTGATGTTTTTACTTGTACGAAGAATCGATTCGAAAATAATCAAATTGAGGATCCAATATCGAAAATCGAGTCGAATCGAGTTCTGGGTGAATCGTTGCAGCCCTAGTTTGACATAGTATCCCGGTCTTAGGTTCATGACAGTGGCCTGTAAATAACTGAGCCTGGACCAGACAATCCATGTAAAGGTCAAACAACACTTTACAACCTGAGTGCCGGGTTATAAATAGTCTTCAGCAGCACGTGCTTGTTGCAAGAGGATCAGACTCGATGGTTAGGTTGGTGCTTGTCATGTCCTAGTTACAGGTGCAAGACAGTGGTCTAAATCATCGAGCCTGGGCCAGACAATCCAGTGTTTGACATCAGGAGATACAATTACAGGGCATGTGAATATGACTGTCAAATGGTGATGAAGTCAGGTGTTTCCGGAAAGCTGAGCATATCCTTCTCCCACACTTAGCACCTTTCAGAAACATATGCAAAGGCGAGTCAATTGTTCACCTGAAAGTATGCTGCAAGTGAAAATAGGGAATTACATTGGACATCATTTTTGTCAAGTCAAAGTCAAAAGAGTTTATTGTATTTAAGGCGTCCGGCCCACATACAATATACATTTGTAAATAATTAGACTAACAACTAGTCTCTGAAATGAACATATTTTACTGAAAAAAAGTTCATAGTAAAAAAATGTATAATATAATGAAAAGGAGCCCTGAGACTTTCTTCATTTTCAGGACCGCCTCCGTGGTGTAGTGGTTAGAGCGTCTGCCCGGGAGAGGGGAATGTCGTGGGTTCGATTCCCGACCGCGTCATACCAAAAGACGTTAAATATGGTACTTGTTGGTCCCTGCCTGGCGCTCGGCATTAATGGGTACAACAAGGACTGGTCGGCTCGGAGTCAGTATAATGTGTCTGAGTGGGGTATTCATGCTTCACTGCGGCATGGTATCTCAGTGGGCTAGCACTATAAAACCAGCTTCAGTCTGGGCTAGTACAAGCAGCCGCACATACACATACACACGCATGCACGTCGCCATATGAGCGAAATATTCTCAAGCACGACGTTAAACCCAATTTCACCTCAGCTCACCTCTTCATTTTCAGAAGCTGAGGAAATCTAGACTAGCCACATTTTCTAGACTTGCGTGGGCTTTCTTGGATATATTTACTTCAGGGTCTGTACGACAGACTAGTAAATAATATACAGTATACAATACATATAATGGAGAGAACAAAGTGACAGGCTATTGTAAAAGTTCGTTCTTGCGTTGTAAATTGTTTGACAGTACATATCTTAGTCTCATACTATACCACAAAAAAGAAACGTCAGTTAGGAATTTTCCTTCGCAAAAACGGATAACTGTAAACTCATTTAATGTTTTGAGCAAAGACATTCCTTCCCAAACTCAGAATGGAACCCAGGAAAAGGTCTCAACAACGCAACCTGATCTCGGAGATGGTACGGTGGTCTCCATGCTTTTCATGCAACTCATGCTGCACGTGCTGTTTACAAGGACCGACCCTATAAAATGCACCCCCAAACCAGGTTGAAACATTCACATTACAACATCAGCAGGTTGCCGCGACTCACGACAGCTCAGAGGAACCAGGCGCTAGGAAGACTTGAAGCTGGCCACACAATCATTTCCAGGTCAACGTTCGGACCATCTACAGGCTGCAGCAACGTTTTTTTCCAGGCCACCAACACCACAAATGATCGCCCCCGTACTGGCAGACCAAGGGTGACAAAACGACGACAAGACCACTATGTTGTGCGACAGCATGTACATAATCCCTTCATGCAGGCAATCGAAACAGCACGCCAGACAGTGGGAACACACGGAAGACCATCAGTACTGATACAGTACGCCGACGTCTTAACAGCGGGAACCTCCATTGCCGTAGACCACACCGGGGACATATCCTCACCCCTCGTCATCGGCGTGAACGTCTACAGTTTGCCCTACAACACCAAAACTGGCGATACAGGCAATGGAGGACTGGTTTGTTGACAGATGAGAGTCGGTACTGCGTATCAACTGCAGATGGCAGAACAAGAATATGGCGACGACGTGGCCAGCGTTAATCAGACCAATGTGTTATGGAAAGAGACTCATGGGAAGGTGCAATCATCGTGGTATGGGGTGGAATAGGTCTGAACCAGAGAGTGGGTCCTGTGGTGTTCCAGAACCTTGGTCCAGGGAGAGGAGGCGGCATCACAGCGGTGCGCTACATCGACCAAGCTCTCAGACCCCACGTCATACCACATTTCGCACGTCACTGGAACAATATTTTCCAGCATGATAACGCCCGGGCCCATACTGCCAGAGCTACACGGGACTTCCTACAGCAGAACGGAGTCAACATTATCCAGAGGCCAGCCCTTAGTCCTGATTTAAACCCAATTGAACATCTTTGGGATGAAATTCAGAGGAGACTGAATAATGTCATACCAAGGCCGAATACAGCCGATTTATTGCGCCAGGTCTTTCTCAGAGTGTGGTACCAGGTGCCAATGGCCTTCATCAATCGATTGGTGCACTCCATGCATAGACGCTGTGCTGCAGTTATTGCCGCTCGTGGTGGTCACACTAGATACTGTCAAGAGTCTGAGGGGACTGCAAACGTTCACGTAATGTCTTGAAATTGTTATTCATTAATGTGTCAAGATATTGTACACAAAAAATGTTTTTGATCCGTTTAATATGTCCATTTCTGTAATGATTTGATTACAGTGCCTATCTCATTTTGAATTCGTACTGACGTGTTTTTTAATGCTGACTATATATATAATCAAATACACACAGCGATATATATACAGCGGTCCTTATATATTAGTATGTACAGTACAACCATAAATTATTGAGAATTTAAAGATTGTAATTTTATTGTTTTCACTCATTACTCACGTATTAAATGTGAATATTAGCAGAACATACTCCAGATTCAAAGACATGTGAACAGTTAGTATTTTGTCAATTCACCATGGGCAGCAATGCAGGCTTCAATGCGGCGGGGCATACTACTGATCAAAGAAGTTAGAAAGTCGTGTTCCATGCTGTCCCAATATCAGACCACCTCTTCTTTCATTTCAGCAATATTTGTCAGATTTTTCTTATTGACACTTTCCTTCATAAGTCTCGAAACAGTTTCTATTGGATTTAGGTCAGGGCTATAGCTTGGCCAATCTAATAATGTCATATTTTGGGTCCGAAACCAGGACTGTGAATGCTTTGAAAGATGTTTTGGGTCGGTGTCCTGCTGGAAAATCAAAAAATGTCCATAGAACACGTGAGCAGATGGAAGTAAATGTCCCTCGAGAATATCTGTGTACCGCTCACTGTTCATATTCCCTTCAAATACACAGAGGGACTTGCCCCTAACACAGATATGCCACCCCACACGTTAAATTTCGGACTGTATTTTGGGCGCTGATACAAAAGTTTTTCAGTTTGTTTGGTCCAGAATTTCAGTGTACTAGGAAACAGCAACACAGAATGTTCATTTAAGAAATTCACATTGTCCCAGTTAAAATTTCTATGCTGTTAGCACCAGTTCAACCTTCGCTCCTTTTCTTCAGGTTTCATGATCGGTGATGGAATTCCTCGACTTTTCTGCCAACCCATTGCATGCAGCTCAGTTCTAACTGTCTCCTTAAAGACAGCCACATTTCCTCTACCAGTCATATCCAGCCTTAAGTTTTCTAAACCGCTTCCTTTGTTTTTAGAAACAAGAATACCAAGCCGCCTCCTGTCACCGACAGTCAATTTTCTGGGCCTACCTGCGCCTCCCTGGTGCTCAGTGCCATATCCATTTGCAATTTTTTTCAAAACACTATAAACAGTGGACAAAGGGATGCCTGTTCTACTTGAAATCACTTTAGCTGATCTGATGTCCTTGTTATAATACTCTAAAATCAACTTCCTCTTCTCTAAATCATCCATACTAAGGATCACTGAAAATGTCGTCTGATAGCAACTAAACAAAGGGGGATAACTCTTCACAAACTAATGAAAAAGGATTAACGGAGTTGTCTCTCTTGAATGAAACCAAGCACTTGATAGCTGGTTAAGGTTGTTTATACTAGAAATCCAATTAAACATATTTCTAAAATTCTCAATAATTTCTGGTCATACTAAATATATACCGCAGTGTGATACAGAGTAGAGGCTGTAAGAAGCTATCTTAATTGTGAGACAACACGGAAGTGTTGAATCATAGCAGGATGCAAATTAATGCTGGACAAAGCTCATTGTACAGTGTCTGCTTTCATCACATCGACTGTGCAATGGAGTTGAGGATTCTATTATTTGCAACAATGATTTCATTCGCCACTGGCCAGGGTAAGTAGACCACACCACGGAGCTAAAAAACAACTCCTTATCGACATCGTACCTTCTTTATGAAGTAAATAATACAACAGGCTGTATTAAAGATGTAATAGTATAATGGGACAGTTATTTAGACATGATGCAGTTGTAAGTTGATGGTGCTCTCTCCGTAACGAAGATTCAAGTATGTTTTCAGGAATAATAATAATGACCTAAATCCCTGAGTTGATGGGAATGAGACCAGGAGTTCGTTGAAGGCACAGAAAAAACAATTTGAACACGACTGGCAAGTTTATTTTGGATGGAATCGTATTTAGTATGGTTCTTGAATTTGTCTTACATTGATGTTGTGTATTTATATTTACTGTCCACAGTATGTTCAAATAACAGACGGGGCGGTGGGGTAGCCTACTGGTTAAAGCGTTCGCTTGTCACGCCGAAGACCAGGGTTCGATTTCCCACGTGGGCACAATGTGTGAAGGCCATTTCTGGTGTCCCCCGTCGTGACATTGCTGGAATATTGCTAAAAGCGGCGTAAAACTAAACTCACTCACTCACTCAAACAACAGACCAGGCGACTAACGGGATCGGGTAGTCAGGCTCGCTGACTTGGTTGACACATGTCAGCGTATCCCAGTTGCGTAGATCGACGCGTATGATGCCAATCACTGGATTGTCTGGCCCATACCCGATTATTTACATGTAGCCGTCATGCAGATGGAACTGGTTGAGTGCGGCGTAAAACAACAAACAAACAAGCAAATAAATAATCAGCCAAATACCAGAAAGTCACTCCCGTGTTAGAAGCATAGTGTATTTGCCTTCACTGTTTTCTTTTAAACGTGAGTGTGTTTACGTCGATGTTTTTCAGTGACAATGGCGATTTCAAAAAGGAAAACAACTTTAGGATCTCCAGTAGAGCTTGTGTGTCAGCAGCCTGATCAAGGATGGGAAAGTGATTGGAATCGTGACGGCCAACCAGCCCTCACTGTGAAGAAGACCCGTGAAAATCCCTGCGTTGTGAAATGGTTTATTAATACTCCGGCGAACACGAACGTTATTTGTCAAGAAAACAGTGGACGTTTCCTGCTAAGGTTCAACCAGTCTAGGATTGAACTGAATGGCACAATATGGGATTGCAAGATTGATGATTCAGATGGCAGCAACAGTGTCACTATTGAATTAACAGAAGAGAAAAAAGGTAAATCAAATATGCACAAAGAATATAGTGAGTGAGTGAGTTTAGCTTTACGCCGCACTCAGCAATATTCCAGCTATATGATGGACACCTGTAAATAATAGAATCTGGACCAGACAATCCAGTGATCAACATCATGATTCAGTTGGCAGCAACAGTGTAACTATTGAATTAACAGAAGAGAAAGAAGTTAGTTCAAATAGAATCTTCAGTTAGAAGTTAGAACTCTCAGTAACCCATGCTTGTCGTAAGAGGCGTCTTGCTTGGCTGATACCATATCCCATACTTTTGAATGTCAAGACATTTTTGGTAGTGTAGGACTACGAGTGCTGATATACAGGGCCTAGATTTTCGATTTTAGACTTACGACTATCTTAGCGCTAAGGGAGCTTCGAAAATCTAGGCCCAAGAGTTTTGTCAAGAAGACATATCTGGACTCATAAGTTATATATTTATTGCTTATACACCTGCAGAAATCACTTATTTATACGTATGTATGATATATGGAATTGATTTATGTATACACATTAATGCCTTTTAGACGTTTCAATGTCTATGTTTGTAGCATCAGATACAACTACCGCTGGAGCTGTTATTGGACACACGAAAAGTACAACTACCGCTGGAGCTGCTATTGGACACACGAAAAGTGTCTGTGCGATCGTCGGTTGTTTCCTCCTGATCACTGCATCGGTTGGTGTTATCATAATTTACAGGAAGCACTGCAGAGCGCGCCAAAGCGGTAACGATAACACGTGGTTCATTTCGCATTGTCATAATTTCACAGCATGCTCTCCATGTTTGTATCTATCTTGCAGTATACGTGTTGTAATATGTTGTTTAGGGAACCAGGTACATGTTGATAAATCATGTGATCGATCATCACAGAATGGCTCTTAGTGGTATGTATGGATGCACGCTTCTGGCAGTAGGACTAATTACATTAACCCTAGTGGGACTGTGCGGGGACTGATGAAGGAGAGAATAAACCAACAAGGACTTAGAAATATGGAGGATGTGAATAAAGAAGTGGTCGAATATTGGGAAATATTGTACCTAGGGGCATTCAGTCGTGTATTTCAGGGCAAGGAGGTCTCACAAAGTACTGAAAAGACACTTAGACTGTAAGAGAATCATATCTCAACATATCCATTTGAGTAAAACTTCTATAGTTTATATACATGTTTTAGATATTGCCGAAACAACTTTCTCAATAATTACTGGGAATACAATATATCCAAGGAATCCGAGATTATGCCATATGTGTTCAGGTGCTCACATTGAAAATGGATATCATTTTCTCTTAATATGTTCTGCCTAATATCCTCAACGTGTATCATATATTCTTGTGAACTTATCTTTGAATAAATATAATACTTTGATGTCTGTTGACAATCCCAATGTGCCACGAAACCTAGCTATGTACATATATCTATTTTATGCGAAAAGCTGCGGTCAAGCCGTTTGTTGGCTGTCTGAAAATAACTGTATGTGGTCCGGTGGCCTACGTACTCCTGAATAAAGAGACAAAAAGTATAGCATAGGGATTTTAGGGCAGAGTGAGTGACTGAATTTAGTTTTACGCCGCTTTTAGCAATATTCCAGCAATATCACGACGGGGGACCTTGAGGGCAGAAGGGAATATGAGCGATGTTGATGAAGGAAGAAATCCAGCTACTGGATTGTTCTCAATGATACATGCTGGATCACGCATTGATCGCATGTCGGTATACAGTTATATAGAGACGTGTGTGCAATAGTAACCACCCAAAAGTTTTTACACAAACCTGTGTGGATCAATACTATACTCCCATGTCCACCTTTAACATTTATTAATGAATACATAGACTGCAGTCCATGACTAGATTTGGGAAATAGATTGTCGTAATGCTAAATGCCTTACAGTCTAGATTACTGCATTTGTTAAACGGGTGATGTTGACACGACCAAGCTCAAATATTATACAATGACGAACAAACAAAACGTACAATAGATTCATTCAGTGATGTGTTCATGCATTGATATATCCATGTATTGTTGTTTACAGAAACCAGAACACTGACTAACAGGTATTCATCTGAATTTAAACCTTCATGTAAACATGTAAATGTAAAAAGGTTTGTGTCATTGCTTGAGCATTCGTTTGCTGGGTACAACTAAACAGAAAACTAACGCTTTTTTTCTTGCCAAAGTGTAATATGCTCTTCGGAGACATAGATGATCATGGAACTAAAATGTTAATGTCGAGTATAAGAACGAAGATAAGTGTTGAAGACAAGTCCTTTACACGTAGCACAATTCAACATCCAATAGTTTCCAAGTGCTAGCCGTTACGTGTTATTCCTGATTCTGTTACTTTCAAGGAATGTTGATTCTCCCTGTGGGGTATTATTCCTGCCAATTCTTAGATATTGATGTCGTGTTTTTTTATGCAAAACCTCTTTCTATTGTCAGCCATGGTGGTACGACAGGGCGAACAACTAATAGCTTAGGTAAGATTATGCATTGTTTACAGCTTGGTGAACTCACATTACTAACTGGCATTACCAACTGATATTACTAACTGACATTAAGGACAGGATACAAGCTAGAAATTTCAGTAGGTCAGTATGTGTATGCTCAAAATGATTCTATCTAAAGGATCAGATATGTTGCTCAAAAATGTTCATTTTATGAAAAGAGGTAATTATTTTATTTTAAACTGCTCAGCGGGTATGGCGGCTGTCCATCTGTGACAGGTTAGCTATCATGTAGGCGTAACTATGTCACCAGAAGATGACTGTATTTCAAAACACAAATTGTTCCTGGTGTCATGTTCAAAATTTCAGTATCATATTTGTTACTTCTCTTTTGTGTAGCCATACATATATACTCTCCACTGTTTCAGTATGCATGTATTTTTATTCCATTGTTTCAGTCATGCAGGAGAATGACTTGTACGAACAAGGAATTACAGAACGCGACTCAGGTAAGGTCAACAGATATCATGATAATTTTACATCAACAATTTGAGTGAGTGAGTGAGTTTAGATTTACGCCGCACTCAGCAATATTCCAGCTATATGGCGGTATGTAAAGAATCGAGTCTGGACCAGACAATCCAGTGATCAACAGCATCAGCAACGATCTGCGCAATTGGGAACCGATGACATGTGTCAACCAAGTCAGCGAGCCGATTCACCCGATCCCGTTAGTCGCCTCTTACGACAAGCATGGGTTACTGAAGATCAATATTCTAACCCGGATCTTCACGGGTATCAACAATATGAACGCATGACATTTGTTATGCACAGAGATTGATGTTCTAAAACGTGTAATGTTATACTGTGAGGTCAACGGATATCATTTTACGACATCCATCAACAATTTGAACCTTTGACATTTGTTATACATAAAAATTGCTTCAAGCAACAACTTACAAATATGCCATCTGAGACATCTTTTTCGATCACTATCGTCGTGATTTCTAAAATGAATTCATTTGTTTCAGTGATGCAAGAGAATGACTTGTACGAGTCAAGTAAAGAACACGACAGAGGTGAGAACAAGATGAATATACTATTCACACTTTGTTAAGGATAAAATCATTGATTCAACAGAAAAGTATGATGTGGGGTCTAGTATGGTTTAAATATCTAAACTTATTGTAAGCATGGATCCTAGGTTTCAGTATGTCACTTCATCCTGTGGAACCCATACCTGCTATTGACAGGTGTTGTGTACTTGTCAATGACTCGTTCCATGCTTTGCCAAATGGTTGATTGGTGCCATGGAAACAATTTTTATGGTTACTCATGTATCGAGTGCATAAGGTTAGATTAAAGTGGCTGTTTGCCTAAAGAGAGGTTACCGTATCATTATTTATCTTTTTTTAAATGGATACGATTTCAAATTATAAATCTGTGATCCTTAGCAAAGTGTGAGTAGTATATGTAGCAGTCAACAATCAATGTCCCAAGGTTCCCAGTTTGTTTATTGTTTGTTTGTTGATTTGTTGGTCTCTCTCCTATCTTACACCTGATTTATACACTGTCCCCAACGCTTTCCAAGCTCAGTATGGCGTGAAGTATGACAGATTGAGATTTGGTTTAAGGCTTAGCAGTATCCCAGTGAGAACACGGTGTGTAAGCTTGAACCAAAGCCATGCAGGTCTCGGTTGATGACGATAATTCACTTCTCTTTATTCATCGGCCCATGATACAACGTTATACATTACAACCTTCAAGCTGCAGCGACGACGATTGTTAGCATAGAAGATGAACATGGCAAGATTTCTTAAAAACAGAGAAATAGCATTACACATCAGTCCGTTAAATTTACACAGGGTTGGATGGCGGAAAACATCGACGGGGATAAAACGTTTACGTAGATCATCATAAGCAGTACATATTAACAACAAGTGGTACTCATTTTCTGCATAGTTACAGGAACACATTTCACACCATCTTATGTCATCGGATCTCAATTGCTTAGATTGATGCTCATGATGTTGATCACTGGATTGTCAGGTCCTGACTCGATTATTTACAGACCGCCGCCATATAGCTGGAATATTGCTTAGTGCGGCGTAAAACAGCAACAAAACAATCAACAGTTAGTATATTATTGTGAAGATCACCATAAAGATAAAGAACATCAAAATACCTACAAAAAAAATACGACAAACCTGGTCCGTGAATATTAATCCTTCAGTCACCATTAAATTTGTATTCATTTCAGAACACACAACTGAAATTTACACAGAAGCTGGCTTGAAGTAGCCATGTGTGTATCTCTGCTATCAAGTCTAAAACGTCATCAGTGTTTGCATGTATTCATATAAGGAATCAAGAACGTGCCTGCAACTGACGAAACGTTTCACAAGTTACTGACAGTGTACAGATGACCATTATGACAATAAAAGCATTTCTATAAGCTTTTACATTATGCTTTTCGTTAATGTTGAGTATTATTCCAACATCTCCATCCTTTGCAATTTACATTGTACAATGTGGGGGGTAAACTCGAGCAGAATTGTTTCATCAAGATTTCAAAGAGCGCCATACGGCTCTTGTTCAGAAGGTAACAACCCGTGAAGATCTGGGTTAGAACTGGTCTTTAGTAACCCATGCTTGTGGTAAGTGGCGACTACCCGTGAAGATCCGGGTTAGAATTGATCTTCAGTAACCCATGCTTGTGGTAAGTGGCGACTACCCGTGAAGATCCGGGTTAGAATTGATCTTCAGTAACCCATGCTTGTGGTAAGTGGCGACTACCCGTGAAGATCCGGGTTAGAATTGATCTTCAGTAACCCATGCTTGTGGTAAGTGGCGACTACCCGTGAAGATCCGGGTTAGAATTGATCTTCAGTAACCCATGCTTGTCGTAAGTGGCGACTAACGGGATCGGGTGGTCAGGCTCGATGACTTGGTTGACACATGCCATCGTATCCCAATTGCGTAGATCGATGCTCATGCTGTTGATCACTTGATTGTCTGACTCCATTATTTACTGTCTCGATTATTACAGACCGAGGTCATAAAGCTGGAATATTGCTGAGTGCGGCGTAAAACTAAACTCATTCACTCAGAAGGTAACAACATTCAAGATCTAAGTAAAACGTTTTGAAAAGTTGAGAACATCTTGAGATCTCCAATAATGATGTCCAATGCAATTCCCTATTTTGATTGTGCCATACGTTCCCAGGTTTTCACAGGTGACCAATTGCCTAGCCTCTGCAAGTGTTTATAGCGAGTGGCACCGCCCGCTTTTCTTTTCACGAACGCCTGGTATCCTCACAGTGTGACCATGATTCATAAACACGTGAGCATCATGATGTCGGAATCGTACAATCGACACTGTGGAGATTTCTTGTAGATGTGCAAAGGGTTTAGTCTCTAACTGACGTACAACACAAAGTACACACCTGATGCTTTGGTAAAATGTTTTCCTGAAAACAGCGTAATATTTAGAAGAGTGTTTTGATTGCGACTCACAAGTCACAAACATTATACATAATGAAAAGGCTTATACGATTTGGTGCTTGGAGCGTTGTCAAATATGAAATATGTGTGTCTCGGTGTGGTGTTTATTGTAAATGCTTGTGAGTAAGTAGGTGATTGCTTGAGTGAGTGAGTGAGTGAGTGGTTCATTGCTTGAGTGAGTGTTTGCATGAGTAATTGCGTGAGTGAGTGCAAGAGTGAAAGAGATTGCATGAGTGGGTGATTGCGTGAGGGAGTGATTGCATGAGTGAGTGCAAGAGTGAAAGTGATTGCGTGAGGGAGTGATTGCGTGAGGGAGGGATGCAGGGAGGGAGCGAGTGAGTGAGTGAGTGAGGGAGGTTTTCCCAGCATTATCACGTTGTTGAACAGAAATGGGCTTCACATACTGCACCCATTGTTCCATGAAGAGAATCGAACGGAATTGTTTGACGCTTTAAGGACAATACGCTTCCCCTGTCCCTGAGACCGCCTCCGTGGTGTAGTGGTTAGAGCGTCTGCCCGGAGAGCGTTAAAATATGGTACTTGTTGGTCCCTGCCTGACGCTCGGCATTAATGGGTACAACAAGGATTGGTCGGCTCGGAGTAAGTATACTGTGTCTTAGTGGGGTATTCATGCTTCACTGCGGCATGGTATCTCAGCACTATAAAACCAGCTTAAGTCTGGGCTAATACAAGCAGCCGCACATACACATACACACGCATGCACGTCGTCATATGAGCGAAATATTCTCAAGCACGACGTTAAACCCAATTTCACCTCACCTCACCCCTGTCCCTGAGGCATGTGCAGTGACATCCTACAGATCATTCCTATAGCAACTAGGTTTATAACTTCCGGAACACCACAGGATATTCATTTCCGGGTCGTCTGGCCAGAACACATTCATGGCTGTCTCACACAGGGTTGTGTTGACACCATACATGCGCTATGTGTTTAGTGTGTCGGTAGGAAGATGGACCTGAAAAATCTTTTAATTACCACATTGATTCAAGTCATCTCATGTCAAGACGGTAAGTATGTGATGCACGTCATTTTGAGTGAGTGAGTGAGTAATGTTTTACGTCGCTTTCAGCAATATTCAAGCAATATTCCCAGGGGGACACCAGAAATCGGCTTCACACATATGGGGAATCGAACCTGGGTCTTCGGCGTGACGAGCGAACGTTTTAACCAGTTGGCTGTCCCGCCGCCCTCGTCATTTTGAAGCTGAATAGGACCTGTCTCTCCTTTCACATATTCGATGAAAATGCAGCACTGTTCAAACTCAACATATCATTAAATAACACTCCATTGCGCAAAGTAACGGGGCATGATTTACTTGTTATTCACTTTCTAAAATATTTGTGATTTCTGTTGTTGTACAATCACAAACACTGAATGTTTATAAAGTCATTCACTTTGCCGGTGTGATAAAGCCAACATACCAACGGGGTATATGGAGAGTGGGGGGTAGGGTTTGGGGGTACATCCCTGCTCGTTTAGATTTCCAGTACGACTGTCTGGCGGTGGGTAGCCTAGTGGTTAAAGCGCTCGTTCGTCACGCCGAAGACCCGAGTTCAAGTCCCCACAATGTGTGAAACCCATTTCTGCTGACCCCCGCCGTGTTTTTGCTAGAATATTGCTGAAAGGGGCGTAAAGCTAAACTCACTCACTCACTCAGTACGACTGTCTGTCAATCAATGTGAACATATTATATTCCACTCACTTACACATACAAACGGTTAAAAAAAATTGTTATAGCATATGGTGAAACCTTGATTCAGTGTAGTTTTCACGTCATCCCCAAATCAACGCCATGAAACCCACATCAACTAGTATAATGCTCAAGGAACATACATTATTATTGATATTGTCGGAAGGTCCCTTTAATATATGAGGAAAGTCAGAGCTACAGATAACATTTTGAGCCATTGCGTTACGTCCTCGCTTGTGTTTATCTCAATTGGGTATACTAATTTTCCTTTGAGTAACCAAATAAGTTATACCCACCTCATTCAAACTCAGTTGGGTATTTTGCGATTTTCCATTATTTGTGAAAATAGAATGAAGTTTCAATGCTAAATGTTTGCTTTTGTATTATCTATATATTTGATCTGTAATATGAGAAAAGATAAGAAAGGCTACAAGTTGCCAAGTTCGTGTGCTGAAGTAGAACCTCACAATATATCTCAGTTATTCTATCTACCCTCAGTAACCTCCATCTGTAGCGCATGGGTCTGCTTACTTCAAATTTTAGTAGGTTTGGTGAATGCTACAGTACGCAAGTTGAGATTCGACATTTTTGTGTGTACGCATGTAAGATCAAATTTAGTGGGTATTTACAAAGATGCAAGCGTACATAACTATTTGCGTAATTTACGCAGATACGCAACTAGAATATCACTCGTCAATGTTGAAAAATCAAAGACGAAATTACATTCCTGCATGCGTAAACACGGAAGAGTTTCGGTATTGCATTCCTGTCGTTGAATCAGTAAATACTGGATTGTGATTGGTTAATTCAAGTCATTCAGAGGTATATAAACACGTTATACAGGACTCTGATTTTCCGCGCACAGTTATACATGGTTTAGGGTAATGAGCTATTTTCGTTTGCCCACCAACATGGCGGACACCACACAAACTTCCGATACGTCGATAATCGATTTTGCATGAAATTACAAATATGTCTGTGAAAAAGAATTTAGAGATGATGAGCTCGATTCATTATTTGCGTAAATCACAGAAATAGGTGATAATACATAAAAATTACTGAACAAGCATTGAAACAAATATTCAGTCGAACAAGATCCAAACTTCAGCAAGAAACATGTGTTTACGTTGATTCTGTGTTATGTCAAAACAGATTAAGCGATATACTGTTACATAAGTTCCATATTCAATTTATTAGCAGATTGCGTTGATGATATGGCCACTGATCTTGCTTCGGAAGCGGAGGGGCTGTTATAATTCCGTTATACTATATACTAGTATCTCTAATTTCGAAACACAGTAGGTTTATCTCCTAAATATACTCATGCCAATAACGGTTGTCACCCCCTTCAATTTTTTTAATTGGAGAGGGGGTGGGTGGGTGTGGGTTGAGGGGGTGACAACCATTATTGTCATGAGCATATAACAATTCTACCCAATAACATCTCTTCTAGGAAGCGTTCATTGTCTGAGAAAGTATATGTTCAAAGCAGACAGGTAACGAATACAAAGAGTGTAATTAATATCAATACATCTTTTATGAGCACAGTGGTGTAGTGGTTAGCATGCTGGCCTCTCACGCAAAAGGCCCGGGTTCGAATCCCGGTGGAGACACCAAAATGTGTGACCTGGGTCTCATACTGTGTTGTGTCCCTGGGCAAGGCACTTCGTCCACATTGCACTCAGTCCACCCAGCTGTTCAAAATGGGTACCTGAGAAGCGGATGTACGGACCTATATGGTCCCGCTTAGCGCTTAGTAGCAGCTTTGAAAGTACAATTCCGTCAGGGTAATAATGTAACGCCAGAGAACAGCATCGCGTTTGATTCTAGGCGCAAATATTAGCGTTATTATTATTATTATTATTTTATATATTACAGTTACTGTAACATTAACGATATCACAACCGGGAACAACTGCGGGATCGCTGGTAGAGCTTGTGTGTCAGCAGTCTGGACAAGGGTGGAAAAGAGATTGGAATCGTGACGGCCAACTAGTCCTCACTGTGACGAAGACAAGTAAAGTCCCCTGTGGCGTGGAATGGCATATAGATACTCCGGCGAATACGGAAGTGATTTGTCAAGAAAACAGTGGACGTTTCCTGCTAAAGTTCAACCAGTCTAGGATTGAACTGAATGGCACAATATGGGACTGCAAGATTGATGATTCAGATGGCAGCAACAGTGTCACTATTGAATTAACAGAAGAGAAAAAAGGTACATCAAATATGCACAATGAATATAGTGAGTGAGTTTAGTTTTACGCCGCACTCGGCAATATTCCAGCTATATGGCAGCGGTCTGTAAATAATCGAGTCTGGACCAGACAATCCAGTGATCAACTGGAGCGTCGATCTGCGCAACTGGGAAACGATGACATGTGTCAACCAAGTCAGCGAGCCTGACCACCCGATTTCGTTAGTCGCCTCTTACGACAAGCATGGGATACTGCAGATCAATTCTAACCGGGATCTTCAAGGGTCACGGCTTTAACGAACCCACATTGACCACTAGTTTATAAAAGTATCTCTTTGTCTGCATGTCGAGTAAAATATGAAACAAGTGGCCGGGATATAAGTTATCAGTCAGTTCGTTATAAGCGTGTTCGTTACAAAGGTAGTTAGATGACTAGCACTAGTTGGCATTATAGTGTTCGTTACAAAGGTAGTTAGATGACTAGCACTAGTCGGCATTATAGTGTTCGTTACAAACGTAGTTAGATGACTAGCACTAGTTGGCATTATAGTGTTCGTTACAAAGGTAGTTAGATGACTAGCACTAGTCGGCATTATAGTGTTCGTTACAAACGTAGTTAGATGACTAGCACTAGTTGGCATTATAGTATTCGTAAAGGAGAAAAAGTTACCCTACGGAAAAATGATTTCATGGACTTTAACCACTAACCGGATACAGTTAGGCGAACTGAATACAGAAATTCATTCCACATGCCCTAAATAAGAAATATAAACGCAAGTGCAATATATTCTTGTCTTGTGACTAGTTAAATAACAAATGTCCCTTTTCTGCAATTTTAGCTCAACCAAACGTACATGTCTTCAAGAAAACCAACGCCCTTGTTGATGGTGGTAATGTAACTTTAATATGTAACGTCAGTGGAGTTTCTAACGTCACATACATCACCTGGAGTCAGTACTGGAAGGACCAGCTCATAAGGAAAGTCAAAGGTCCCTTCTCCTCTCTGCATCAATTCAATGTCTATGGGGCAACGTACGCAGATGAAGGCAACTATACTTGCAATGTAACGGCTCTGGTTCCAAGTGGACGGAAGATCTTCCTCTCTGGATCTGAAGAAATACTAATAAATGGTACACACTTTCCCTTGTGGGTTTATATATATTTGAGCCTCTTCTCAAGGCGCGTAGCAAGCCAATTTTATGTGTACGCCCGATAGGTTGCAAAGCGTTATGTTTAGATAGTATTGAGGGTTGCCAAACCTTTTTAGCCACAATCACGCGTAAGGCTTTTTTTTCATGATGGTCACTACGCCCCTGTTCTCGTAAATACTCTGTTTTAGTTACTTGATTCTCTTTGTGTGGTAAATACATGATAAAACGCTTCAAACACGAGTAACAAGATACTACGTTTTGTGCCAATGTGTCGCATGTTAAGGCAAAGATGAAGAGCTGCACACAACTGACATTATTCGGAACCCTAAAGGGAGATTACCGAATGCCGAGCTTTATCTTACCTAATGTAAAATGCCTTAATTTCATTGGTCAATGACGTTTTAACCCTCCCAGGAGGGTTCCAACTGGAAAGAATAATACCCGCGGCCACGGTTACCACCAAACTCTCCGCCGAGGAGCTGTATCGGTAACAATCGTATGACGTCATAGTATGACGCATGCAGTGCACGGAGATGGAAAACCGTTCGATTAGCTGTTTTTTAGTTCACTATGTGTACATTTATTTACGACTTTCACTGCTTTATTTAAACTATTTTATACATTGAATCGTTTGCACACTAAAATTTAAACATACTTAACCATTTTAATAGCAGTTTTAAGCGTGTCAGAATATGTTTCACTGATTTTAAAAATCCAGTCGAGAGGCAGACGCCATTTTGTTTAAATGTCATATAATCGGTAGCGAGCTTTTCGATCTTCAAATTAAAATAAAACGATATTTTGTACATTTAACATGGCGGTAAGATAAATACGTTGTAAACGTCTCCCTCGGGTAATACGGTCCGACGTCCGCCTTTCTGTAGCAGTGTCATCCCTCGCCTACCGGCTCGGGTGACACTGCTTACAAAGAGGGTACATCAGACCGTATTACCGTCGAGAGAAACATACAACTTATAGTGTCTCACTTGGCGGATACAAATTAGGATACGAGCTTGTGTGTTATGCTAAATTTGGGTATCATTTCGTCTGAGTGTCCATGTGTTTATGAATAACTGTAAAAAGGAAAAGGACAAATATGAAAGGTAGCTGGTGTGAAGGTGTGATTTTTTTCGTGAACTTTAGTAACGCTGACGCCTTGTTATAACATTACTAATCAAAGTCTTAAAATAATTTTGCTGTCATCTGTGACACTTTGTTAAAATAATATACACGATATGTATTTTTCAGTTATGGCATATGTTTTTGACATATTATTGCACATGGGGGCAGGATAAGAAATAATTATGATCAGGTCGTAAATAACTTCAACTAATGAGCCTCTGTGTCGTGGAACTGGGCATTTCTTTAACGGTATTCAGAACCACCGCTTTTCTTTGCACGTTTGTAAGAGAAGTGGCTTCGAACGCCATTATTCATCACATGGACATACAATCTGTAACCCGGTTCACTTGTTGTATCCTTATTATTACTTAAATTACGACCCGTGAAGATCCGGGGAAGAATAGGTCTTCAGCAACCCATTCTTGTCATAAAAGGCGACTATGCTTGTCGTAAGAGGCGACTAACGGGATCGGGTGGTCAGGCTCGCTGACTTGGTTGACACATGTCATCGGTTCCCAGTTGCGCAGATCGATGCTCATGATGTTGATCACTGGATTGTCTGGTCCAGACTCGATTATTTGCAGACCGCTGCCATATAGCTGGAATATTGCTGAGTGCGGAGTTAAACTAAACTCACTCACTCACTCACTTAACTTACCATCATTTAAATTGAGTTTCAGCTTAAGTGTACTTACGTTCATCATAGCTAAGGGACGCTCATGTATTAACCGGGGCGGTTGGGTAGCCTAGTGGTTCAAGCGTTCGCTCGTCACGCCAAAGACCCGGGTTCGATTCCCTACATAGGCAAAATGTGTGAAGCCCATTTTTGGTGTCCCCCGCCGGGATATTGCTGGAATATTGCTAAAAGCGGCGTAAAACTAGACTCACTCACTCACTCACTCATGTACTAGCCCATTTCTAAACTGACGTACAAAAGAAAGTACACACCTGGTGTTTTGGGGATTATTTTAAACGTGTTGTGATTTTGACTGGCAACTTCGCAATAAGGCACGATGTCTGTCGTGTTTTGGCAACATATTAGGAAAGTGTGTGACATATATATCACTGTAAAAACTCTTTTCAAAACATTTACGTCGCTTTTTGGAAAGTAATCCAAAAGCACTGGATATGTACTTTCTTTTGTACGTCAGTTTATTTCATAGGTCCTCCAGTTTTCAAGCGACCAGATCAAAGGATCCTATCAGCATTCCCAGGTCAAGATGTCATCCTCTCCTTCCAATATCTCTCCAGTTCTATTGATGTAAATCACACTGTTCTTCACGACGACGTTCATCAGAGCATCTCGAACTGGAGCAGTGGTGTCCAAGTTACCTTCATTGTGCACAGCATCACACTGAAGAGAGAAGGATTCATGGTGAACTTTACGTTGAACAATATAACAGACCTCCAGAGAGGGACATATTCCGTCACGACATGCAACGATTTTGGTTGCGCTACATCGTACTCAATTCAACTTCGTGTTTCGGGTATGTGTCTTGAACACCAGGTATTTCAGTGATCCATTCACAAAATAGATTATTTATTTTTCTTGTTTCCCCATTTACACTTTTCTGAAGATAGCCAAGACTGGGTATTTTTATCACCGACGTTCTATTATTTATAACATACAGGCAGTTTGACGTCATAAATGTCAGATACCTATTTGTGCAGCGCCGAGTTCCAGCTAGGCTGAAGATCCGGGTTAGAATCGATCTTCAGTTATCCATGTTTGTCGTAAGAGGCGACTAACGGGATCCAGGTGGTCAGGTTCGCTGACTTGGTTGACACATGTCATCGGTTTCCAATTGTGTGGATCGATGCTCATGATGTTGATCACTTGATTGTCTGGTTCAGACTCGATTATTTACAGACCGCCGCCATATAGCTGTGACCTGTGACTATCATCATGGTAACTCGTACTGGGAACAGGGTCAGTTGTGACGTCACAAAACCGTGCGGAGTTTCTAGTTGCGTAGATTGATGCTCATGCTGTTGATCACTGGATTGTCTGGATCTATATTCGATTATCTACAGACCGCCACCATATAGCTGGAATATTACAGAGTGCGGCGTAAAACTAAGTCACTCGTTCCAGCAAGGCTGTTCACGGGAGTTTTCCTAGGAGTATCAAATCAGAGAGAAAAGACAATATTTTTAATGACACGACATGACACTGCCATGATACCTGCAGTCGTGCTATGAAGACCATGTTGACCTTCTCATATAAGCATCATCGACATTCACTGACCTAGGTTAAATAATTTGCATTCATTCAGACATGTCATCAAGGTGGCGTACACCATCCCTTTGGTATTCTTACAAGATTATCAGAAAGTGCAAGCAATCTTCAGAACATACATTTGCTCGATAACCGTCAAACCCACGGAGAGAGAAATGCTGTGTGATCAAGGTTATATTCTCATATATCTAATGTCAGCGTCACAGTACGTTGAAATACTTTTAAGTCGTAAACCAAACAGGTATTGAATATTTCAATGAGGAGGCTCTTCATCGTCAGGGGACCCGTGAAGGTCCGGTTAGAATATTGATCTTCAGTAACCCATGTTTGTCAAAAGAGGCGACTAACGGGATCGGGTGGTCAGGCTCGCTGACTTGGTTGACACATGTTATCGGTTCCCAATTGCGCAGATGGATGCTGATGCTGTTGATCACTGGATTGTCTGGTCCAGACTCGATTATTTACAGATCGCCGCCATATAGCTGGAATATTGCTGAGTGCGGCGTAAAAACTAAACTCACTCACTCACTCACTCACTCACCCATCGTAAGGGACATTACAATGTGATAAGTATGGAATAAGACGCTTTGTGCCTCCACATATGTATGGCATTTTAAGACTAAGATGGCTGCACTCAGTCGACTATATTCGGAATCCTGTTACTAACTCAGCTGATACGAATAAGCATTGGGACTTGGTTTGGGTTTGGTTCAGCCTGTTTAACGCCGCACTCAGCACTATTGCAGCTATATGGATGCTGCCTGTAAATAATCGAGTGTGGACCTGACAATCCAGTGATCAACTTTATGAGCATCGATCCACACAATTGAGATACGATGACATGTGTCATCCAAGTCAACGAGAATGACCACCCGATCCTGTTAGTCGAATCTTAAGACAAGCATAAATTGCTGAATACAGGATCTTCTAACCTTGACTTTGGGAAACGAGCATCAGAATTATTTTACTACCCGACCAAGATAGAGGATAATGCACGACTTTCATAAAATCAGTACGATACACATACAAGTGTACTAATTTATTTATTACCGATTATTCCGTAATCCTTTCGAGATCCCCTTTAGATAAATGCAGTGATCACGACGGTCGTATGACATCAAGTTTCATTTCTCATAGTAATTGTGACGTCATACTTGACTGGATATTTATCCTTAAAACAACAGCAACTACAACCTCTTTCGATGACCTAAACAATACACTAGTGTATGTGTCAAATTGAAGTGAAAATACATTCTGCCATACAAAATATACATTTATGTCAGTTATTTCTAAACCAAAATAACATTACTGTTAACGGCCTGTCTATTCTGTCTTTAATTCATATCTATTTAACAACACGCATGTGGTGTTCATAATCCAAGGACGTGTGTCACTCTGCAGATCCAACCACACCCAACATGATAGCATCGTTATTCAACTTCCTGATTACGTTGACTGTGAGCGTGGGATGTGTCCTGTTAGCGGGAGTCGTGGCCGGTATCATCGTCACTGTGAGGAAACGCAGTCATCGGAAGTCCCTTGACAACGGTGGTATGTTTATCATTTCAATATGCATTTTCGTAGTGTGCATATATTCCTAGAAAAAGTTACACTTAGTTTCTTTTGTATTCATAGAAATAGTTACACTGAGTTTGTCTGTATTCCTAGAAAAAGTTACACTTTGTTTGTATTCCTAGAAATAGTTACTTTGTTTGTATTCCTAGAAAAAGTTACACTTAGTTTGTCTATATTGATAGAAATAGTTACACTTAGTTTGTCTGTATTCCTAGATATAGTTACACTTTGTTTGTATTCATAGAAAAAGTTACACCTAGTTTGTCTATATTGATAGAAATAGTTACACTTAGTTTGTCTGCATTCCTAGAAATAGTTAAACTTAGTTTTCCTGTATTCCTAGAAATAGTTACACTTTGTTTGTATTCCTAGAAATAGTTACTTTGTTTGTATTCATAGAAAACGTTACACTTAGTTTGTCTATATTGATAGAAATAGTTACACTTTGTTTGTCTGTATTCCTAGAAATAGTTACTTTGTTTGTATTCATAGCAAAAGTTACACTTACTTTGTCTATATTGATAGAAATAGTTACACTTAGTTTGTCTGCATTCCTAGAAATAGTTAAACTTAGTTTTCCTGTATTCTTAGAAATATTTATACTTAGTTTTCATGAATTCCTAGAGAAGGTTACACTTAATTTGTCAATATTCCTAGACACAGTTACACTCAGCTTTTGTGTATTCCTACAAATAGTTACACTTAGTGCCTGAACTATGTAATATGACATTGGAACTTGGTCAAACCGATAGTTCATACGAAAGGTTTATAGTGTGCGTATATTCCAATGTATTTATTATTCAACTCTTTAAGACTAATGTAAACCTTACATATGATATATATATATATATATATATATATATATATATATATATATGCATAATATTAAATGTTGTCCATGCATCAAATCAAGCATTTTTTTAAAAAAACACATGTTATATATATCGTTCCAATTAGTATTTATGCATTGGTTATTTAAAATACTACTAGCTGACTATATATATGTTGCAGTTGTACAGAACGACCTGTATGAGACTTCCAGTCGTATCAATGACGATGACGTTGCCGATTCTTCTGCAGATGATGCTACGTTCAGGAGATCTGTATTAGGTTGGTTTTGCCATGGACAGTGAACGACGTTTATAACGAACTTGCTATATAACGACTGACGTATAAAACGAAGTTGGGGGTTTTTTGGTTGGAAATTACTTTTCTAAAATAAACCACCATTTGAAGCTGTATATTTTAGATGCGTAAAGCGAACTACGGTTTTAACGAAATAGAATTAGTTGCAATGTTTCGTTCATTATAAACGTACTTTACTGAAGATGCATAAAGACCCTTCATTTATAATATCGGCTCTGACTATATTAACGAAATGTCAGTTAATGAAAAATGAAACTTGATGCCAGAAGAAATAAATACTGAAACATCTTTCCTGATTCATTCATGCAGGTGAAAGAACATACACAGAGATTATTACACGAGCAAGTGTGTGTCATTACGGGTGTACTCTCTTTCGGGCAATACACAATTACACACTCTTTTCGCATACGTCTTGACACACTTGCTCGGGTGTAACACTATCTTTATTATCCATTTTATCCATGTACATATGTACAGTAAAACACTGTAAGTAAGTGTCTTCATTGACGTCACGTTCAATTGTTTAATGACGTCACATGCAACGAAATACAGAAACAATGGTTGCTCGGCAAATGTGATTTGTGCACATGTGCACATATGATAAATACTCATGCCAATAATGGTTGTCACCCCCCTCCCCACCCACACCTCACACCCCCACCCCACACCCCTTCTCCAATTAAAAAAATTGAAGGGGGTGACAACCATTATTGGCATGAGTTTATATGACACTGGTTTATGTTTCACCATATGGGTAATAAATTGTTATACGATCCAGGAAGTGTTGTATATTTCCCCTGACCTCTTGCGATGTCAGCATCTCGTTCAAGTAAAACAGTTTAAGATCAGGTGTTAGTCTATGTACGATCTCTTGTGTTTCAGTCATGCAGGAGAACGAACTGTACGAAAAGAGCGGTGAAGGTCAAACAGGTATAACCATAAACATATCCAAAGTTCTCAACATATGGTCCTGAAAAATACAGAGTTAGTGGGTTTGGTTTTACGGCTCTTTTAGCAATATTCCAGCAATATTACGGCAGAGGACACAAGAAATGGGCTCCACACATTGTACCCATGTGGAGAATCGAACCTGGGTCATTGACGTGACGAGCGAACGCTTTAACCACTAGGCAACCCCACCGCCCCAATAAAATAAAGAAACACGGCGTTTTACGCCGTACAACGCGAAAAGGAAATGTGATGTGCTTATATAATTATATTCTAAAAACATAAGTTTAGAACTCACTACAAAGTAATTACAAATGGCAATGTAATATAAAAACCGTGATTCTAGCCATAAAGACATGTACAGAGATGGTAATATTCACCTTCCTGAAACTGTTGTCAAGCTTCCAAAATAGGCCCAGGCTGAGGATCCAGGGTGAAAAGTGATCTTGCCTTGTAATGTACGGTGTAATACAAGGTGACAAAGGTGACCAAGAGTTCCTCCTTTAATATGTATAAAGTTTCTGTTCTGGAACTTTCTCTAACCAGACTGCACTGGAATATTTTGGGTGCTGTAAGACCTTCTAGACCAGTTTTGACTCCCAGTCTAAATATAGTAAGATGAACACCACTGCATTTTACAGAATATCAACTGAATGTAATAGAATACAACCTCATAACAACTGTCAGGTAAATTCCAGCTCTAGATGATGGCAGTGGGCGGTAACAAAAATTTCTTGCATATTGGTTCAGAAGTTGGTTACTGGGTGCTCATAGGAGTGAATCTATTGAAATTAATATGTGACTACCGTATACCGGGAAATTTTCGAGGTATCTAATTTTCGAGGTTTTCGAGGTTAGAAGCGCAACCTCGAAAAATATTATATCCATGAATTTTTCCGAACTTCAAACCTTTGGGTTAGATTTCCTATCGATAAGCATTTCAACTGCTGGCAACCAATGACTTCCTGACATGCGCATTAACTCTTTAATGCCTGTCTACAACTAATCTTAACGTTCAATGACCCTGAACGGCCTGAATGAACAAACAACAGAAATGCGGTGTCGAGATTATTTAATTGTGTTTGTAATTGTTGGTCCAGAATAACATGCATTATAAAAATAGGTAATTCAATCAGTGTGTTACATGTGAAGTCAAACCAACTGTCAATACACTCGATGTCACTCTCTGGCCAAACGGACCGCATCGGCGATGCCAGGTTTGATGAATGCGCATCTTTAAGGGATTGTTTACACAAACATCCTGGGGCTGTAAGGCATCCGTGCTGTTGGTCAGTTTCGCTAAAGAGGTCAACTTGTCAGCTTTCTAACAACAACATAGTTTCAACAGAGACCCATCATACATGCTTATAGTTAGTTGTTAAAAACAATATCGTCTGAGAAAAATGGCGTCATGTTTGAACACTGCCGACAGAGTGTTTCATGGGTAATTTATCACAACAAAGGAACAAAGGGTTGTTTTCATTACTATTATTTCTGCCATGGACTGGTATACCGGTAGTTATAACAGTCAGACGGCAGTTATCACTGGCTACTTGTCGATAGTTCACTGAGTATTAATCCGGTAAGTCATGTTTCTGGGCACTTTCTTCTAACCTCGAAATTAAAATTGTCTTAAATATTTATATATTTTAGGCCCCCAAAACCTCGAAATTTAAATCACCTCGAAAGCTCTGGAGGTCTCAAACCTCGAAATTTTAGTACCTCGAAAATTTCCCGGTATACGGTAGTTAATTTGTTGTAGCCTAAATGCTATCATTCGTCACCACTTCTTTTTTAGTGCAAATAATGGACACAACTGATATCTACTCAGAAGTCAAAAAGACATGAAGATGAAGCAATTTTGGATGCACATGTCACCACAGTCCAGCAGAAAACTCCATGTTCTACCGGAACTGTCCGATTGCCAATACTACGCAGCGCGTTTGTATTGTGAATTAATTCTTCTCGACTGTTATACGGCTTGTATATAGCGTAATCAGTTTCTTTACATTACTGCCATCTTGCTGCCACTGATAAATCATTATGTTCCAACATGACGGAACAGGAAACCAAATGAGGGCTTAAAGGCTCATCTACACTTTTTTCGAATTGACAGGAATCAAGGAGTGTCAGCCAGAAAAAAATATTTCCAAACTTCTAACTGCATTCAGGAGAGAATGTCAAAATAAACATTATTTTCAAGTTTTGTAAGATTGCCATTTTACTGGCGACTCAGTGACAGGTGGTCACGTTTTTATGCGAGTCGGCAGTGTTCTGATGACGTCAGGGCTCACTTGGAGAGCAATCGGGACGTTCTGACCGCATTCGAGCTGTATTCGACGTGCATTCGAGCTGTATTCCAACTACAAGCGAAATATTCCGATACATTTGAAGAATATTCCACCTGAATTCGAGCAGCAATCGAGTTCGAAACTCATTCGAGGCGCATTTGAAGTGGCTTCTCCATTGTCCCTACGTTCAAAATACTTAGAATAATACACTAAGACTACAGTAAGAGCACTTAGAATGCAGTTAGAATGCACTTCAAATACCGTTCGATATTTTTCCACTTCGAATGTACCTCGAAAGATTTGAACATGTTCAAAATATTCGGGCATGTCACAAAAAATTATAGTTGGAATGCATTTGGAATGCAGTAAGTAGTTTTAGAATGCAGTTCGAATTTCCAGGAATCTCCAGGAGTTTTCAATCCGACAGAAATCAGGCTCGTTCTTCCTTAAGTGTAAGGGGGGTATTAACAAAATCATTATAAAACAAGTACAGTGATAAAACTAACTCTGTTGGCGCCCTTGTCGCTGTAGTGAGTCTGATACAAGTTCTGATTTTGCCTTACAAATTATGCATGTTCCGCGTTTGCTCAGTGATTCATTGACTCGCCTTTGCATGTGTTTGTGCCTGATAGTGATAATAAACCCATGCTCATTTTTTAGTCTCAACCGTAAATCGATTTTTTTTATTCTAATTTGTACAAACCACATTTCGTGCCTGTATTATAATATTTGACGGATACATATTTCGTTTATATTTTTCACAGGAACCATTGTTTGTTATTCTTGAACAATATTACACGAATATTGAGGTGAACGATACATCACAAGTTCAACGTAGTGCATTGCTCGACTATTTCAAAAGACATTTGTTTGTGACGGGTTCACCAGTGTGGCAGAATATCGTAAGTAACGTTTATCGTAAGTACTTTACAGGGGCGGTGGGGTAGCGTAGTGGTTAAAATGTTCGCTCGTCACGCCGAAGACCCAGGTTCGATTCCCCACAGGGGTACAATATGTGAAGCCCATTTCTGGTGTCCCCCAGCCTTGATATTGCTGGAATATTGCTAAAAGCGGCGTAAAACTAAACTCACTCACTCACTTACATCCCTCTTTATGGTAGATTTTTGGGGACATTTCAAAATCTGACGTCTCACTGACAAAAACTTATGTGAAAGGCAACTTCTATTTGTACTTGCACCATATGTCCCAATATTTTAGTCACTTAACTTATTTGATTCATACCATACGTCCCAGTGTGTTTGTCAGGTGGCTAATTGACTTGCTCTTGCATGTGTTTGTGACCGGTTCAAGGTTACGCTCATCATGCTGTAATCACTATTAGATATTGATTCACAAACACATGCACATGATCAATACAATGGGCTATTTATGGTAGTGTTATTATGATTATGTACACAGTTTTGTCGGTATTCTTTAAAGTGGGTGGGTTTAGATTTACGCCGCACTTAGTAATATTCCAGCTATATGGCGGCGGTCTGTAAATAATCGAATCTTGCCCAGACAATCCAGTGATTAACATCATGAGCATCGATCTACGCAGCTGGAGTACCTTGACATCTGTCAACAAGGTCAGCGAGCCAGACCACCCGACCCCGTTAGTCGCGTGTTACGACAAGCATAGGTTACTGAAGATCAATTCTAACCCGGATCTTCACAGGTATCTTCTTTAAAGCAAACCAAAGTCGCTTACTGTTTAGTTATAGGCTGTCAAAGCATAATATGTGTCCATGTGTTTATTTTGTTTGTTATTTCTTTTTATGTCACAACCAAATAAAGTTTAATTATGTGGAGTATTATCATTTTATGTACAAACATGATGTACACTCGCATTGACGTATGACTCTGTTGATAATGCTGAACTCTCCAGAAGTCATGGACTTGTTTTCTTTGCTATCTTACGCCGCACTATGCAGTTTTCCATCTAAATGATGTAAAATGTAAAATCTGAAACATGTAAAATCTGAAAAATATATTTCACGAAAAACGTTGCTATGCTGCAAGACTCGCAGGAACTCTGCACGCTTACAATGCAAAATACTACACTGTTCTGTTCGTTTTATTAAAAAAGGGTGAACAATGTTTTTGCCCTTCAGCTGGAAAAGTATTCTATAACATTCAAGGTTGATATGTCCAGGAATACAACTAGTTACTACACGGCATCTATAACAAAAACAAGAGTATTTTTAAATGACTTTATTCATTAAAACAAGCCTCAAAGCAGCAACATAACCGCACGATGCGAAACCAACTAATATACAGTATGTTGTGTATAGAATTTAATATTTAGATTTGGGAAGTGTTTTGAATACGATGCCAACGTATAAATAAATTCGCAGTATTCAGAGAGAAGAGATTAAAGAAATATACTGGACAAAAATAGTTAGGATGTATGTAAATTTTGAAATTATGAATAAAGATTATTCATTCACAGACACACCGATAAAATATCAATTTTAAAAATACCAATATCCCTAACTTATTTTGTCCAGTACATGTAACACAGGTGGTAATGATGCCACCAATCACTGTGTCCTTATTGGATGTTGACAGCAGTTGACCCCTCGGGTTCTGTCCCAGTATTGCAAAGTAGGTCACACCTTGAAAGTGAATGAATTGTTAGGATATTTTATCATATTTAAATAGCTTTGGTGAATTTCTGGACCTCATTTTTTTACAACCTCCTAACCTGCTCCAATCCTCTACATCAAGCACCTACCAACGTATTCACTGTTCTGCATTTGGACCTCATGCTACTGTGAAAGTGTGCGTTGCGTTTGTGCGATTCTGAAGATTCTGAACAATGTATGCACTGTGTTGTTCTCACCTTGCTAGAAGTTACTACCACGGGTAACTTCCAGCAAGGTGCATACATTGTTCAACAACAAACAATGCAACCCGTGGTAGTAACGTCCAGCAAGGTGTGAACAACACAGTGCATACATTGTTCTGACAACAACAAAACAATGCAACCCGTGGTAGTAACTTCCAGCAAGATAGAACAACACAGTGCATACATTGTTCTGAGAACAACAAAACAAGCAACCCGTGGTAGGTGTGAACAACACAGTGCATACATTGTTCTGAGAACAACAAAACAATGCAACCCGTGGTAGTAACGTCCAGCAAGGTGTGAACAACACAGTGCATACATTGTTCTGACAACAACAAAACAATGCAACCCGTGGTAGTAACTTCCAGCAAGGTGAGAACAACACAGTGCATACATTGTTCTGACAACAACAAAACAATGCAACCCGTGGTAGTTACTTCCAGCAAGATGAGAACAACACAGTGCATACATTGTTCTGACAACAACAAAACAATGCAACCCGTGGTAGTTACTTCCAGCAAGATGAGAACAACACAGTGCATACATTGTTCTGAGAACAACAAAACAATGCAACCCGTGGTAGTACATTCCAGCAAGATGAGAACAACACAGTGCATACATTGTTCTGAGAACAACAGAACAATGCAACCCGTGGTAGTACATCCAGCAAGGTGTGAACAACACAGTGCATACATTGTTCTGAGAACAACAGAACAATGCAACCCGTGGTAGTACATTCTAGAGAACAACACAGTGCATACATTGAGAACAACACAGTGCATACATTGTTCTGAGAACAACAAAACAATGCAACCCGTGGTAGTACATTCCAGCAAGGTGAGAACAACACAGTGCATACATTGTTCTGACAACAACAAAACAATGCAACCCGTGGTAGTAACGTCCAGCAAGGTGTGAACAACACAGTGCATACATTGTTCTGACAACAACAAAACAATGCAACCCGTGGTAGTTACTTCCAGCAAGATGAGAACAACACAGTGCATACATTGTTCTGACAACAACAGAACAATGCAACCCGTGGTAGTACATTCCAGCAAGGTGTGAACAACACAGTGCATACATTGTTCTGACAACAACAAAACAATGCAACCCGTGGTAGTACATTCCAGCAAGGTGTGAACAACACAGTGCATACATTGTTCTGAGAACAACAAAACAATGCAACCCGTGGTAGTAACGTCCAGCAAGGTGTGAACAACACAGTGCATACATTGTTCTGACAACAACAGAACAATGCAACCCGTGGTAGTTACTTCCAGCAAGATAAGAACAACACAGTGCATACATTGTTCTGACAACAACAAAACAATGCAACCCGTGGTAGTACATTCTAGCAAGGTGAGAACAACACAGTGCATACATTGTTCTGAGAACAACAAAACAATGCAACCCGTGGTAGTAACTTCCAGCAAGATGAGAACAACACAGTGCATACATTGTTCTGACAACAACAAAACAATGCAACCCGTGGTAGTTACTTCCAGCAAGATGAGAACAACACAGTGCATACATTGTTCTGAGAACAACAAAACAATGCAACCCGTGGTAGTAACGTCCAGCAAGGTGTGAACAACACAGTGCATACATTGTTCTGACAACAACAAAACAATGCAACCCGTGGTAGTTACTTCCAGCAAGATGAGAACAACACAGTGCATACATTGTTCTGAGAACAACAAAACAATGCAACCCGTGGTAGTTACTTCCAGCAAGATGAGAACAACACAGTGCATACATTGTTCTGAGAACAACAAAACAATGCAACCCGTGGTAGTAACTTCCAGCAAGATGAGAACAACACAGTGCATACATTGTTCTGAGAACAACAAAACAATGCAACCCGTGGTAGTAACTTCCAGCAAGATGAGAACAACACAGTGCATACATTGTTCTGAGAACAACAAAACAATGCAACCCGTTGTAGTAACTTCCAGCAAGATGAGAACAACACAGTGCATACATTGTTCTGACAACAACAAAACAATGCAACCCGTGGTAGTAACTTCCAGCAAGATGAGAACAACACAGTGCATACATTGTTCTGAGAACAACAAAACAATGCAACCCGTGTTAGTAACGTCCAGCAAGGTGAGAACAACACCGTGCATACATTGTTCTGAAAACAACAAAACAAACTTGGTATATCTGGTAAAATGTGGAGACCCCTTCGTTTATCTTATATGTCTGTGCACTCTTATGTTGGTTTTCCAGGGTTCAAATCGAACCAATTTCATGTTAAACAAGGTGTCGGGCAAGGCCGTGTTATATCAGCGTGGTTTTTTTCACTGTACATAAATGATTTATTATATGATCTTAATAGAACAAATTGTGGATTATACCTCCCATGGGGAAAATGTCCCGGCTTATTGTTAGCTGATGACACAACCCTTACCAGCTCCAACCCCAAGGGATTACAATGTTTGTTAGGCGTACCTGAATGTTATGCAAACAAACAAGAGTGCTGTATTGATGTTTGGTAACAACAAAAATGTATCGCCCAATGACCTTTTATTCTGTAATATCCATGTACCTCCAAAACAATTCATTATTTATGCTGGAGTGTATTTTACTACCTCCAAATCATCTGTTAATAGAACAGGTAATGTTTGTGAGAAACTGAGAAAAATTATTAATATTAACCATGACTCAGGGTTGCATTATGGAGGATTAAATGCTATTGCTGCAATTCGTATATGGGACAGAGTTATACTGCCATGCCGCCTATATGGATGCAGTGTATGGGGAAAGCTATCTAATAAAGAATATGATATGTTGGAAACACACAGCGTTATTTCTGTAACAAAATACAGGGTTTTGATAGGTATATGCCTAATGAAGTTGTTGTGGATAACCTTGGTATTTTATCATTACAAGCTTATATAGATCAACGCTCTCTGTTGCTACTTGGCAGATTATGTAACAGCAGTATTAAGTTTTCTTTTAAACAGTTGTTTTTACATAGAATCTCGCAATATGACAATGAAATTATGAATGGCAGAAAGCATAAACGAGACATGAAATCTCCTATATTTCATATGTTGGAACTATTAGCTAAATATGGTATCCAGGAAGAAATTAAACTATATTTAGTGTGTTCTAAATTTTCATGTAAAAGGAAATGGTCAAGAATGGTACGGGAAAAGGTCTTACAATGTGATAGAAAAGCAGCAGAGTATGCCATGCAGTCAAGGCTGTCATTGATATGGTATCAGTCAATAAGATGGGACGGTGTAAATCGACTATGGCAACTGGTGCTTGACAGACCAAGGTACTATAAACGTATTGGTTTTCTTATTAAACTGGGTTCTGTTCCCATTCAGTCAAAGGAATGTGAGTGTGGCACTGTGGCGCACGATATTTTAAAGCACGTTTTTATGTCTTGTAAGATTAATATTGCTGAAAGAAATGTCTTATTTGAACAAATTTCTGACTTACTTGATGTTAATATCGCTGTAAAATTATGGACCTACGATGATGATGATGAATTCCTGAAATTTCTACTTGGCGGAATACCGGAAGATGTAAAGGACCAGCTAAACTATGATGTGTGGGCAAATGTTATAATATGTGTCTCAAATTCTGTATGTAAATGGAAAAATATTTATAACTGTTGTATTTCACCTTACCACCCTGTATAATTTTTTTATGAGCATTTCTGTTGTATC